CGCCTGCAAAAGCACTCTAATTCATTGGAATAGGCAATTAACGTCGTCCTAGCGAGCGGAGAATATTAGGTAACAGGCGTCACTAATATTTACAACGCCAGAATGCAGACATAATGGATAGTTATGCAACTAAAGGAGAGCGTAAGAGAAATTTAAAATTGGTCCGTTCTATTGTTACCGTAACAAAAGCGTGAGCCGATCAAGATCGCACAAATCCCACCGGACAGTGATTTCCTTGCCAAAAGCCTTCCCCACAGCCAAAAAAGGCACAGTGCAATGTGACACATAGTATCACTATATTATTAGTGCCAAATGCAGACAATCAAAGGTGGTAAAAAAATTAAACAAAAATTACTCGTTAAAAAAGAAAATGTTCGATGCCATTTTAAGGTTAAAGACGTTCGACGCTGCTCGACATCTTAAAAATTGCCTTCAAAGAATCAGCATTTTGCGCGAAATGCACAACTCCACTTTTGTGATTTTCTTCTATTCTCTGTTCGGCTCGTTTTATTGCTCTTTTTGCTTATGTATATTTGTAAACTTCCTATAGTATAATCCAAAGAGTTTCAGACTGATTTTTTTTTTCGGACTTCCCCTCATGCGATACACTCCTGGGAATGTCCTTGAAAGAAATTAACTTGAATTTGAAGGTTTTTAGGAAGTTCCTAATCAGGTATAGTAGTAGTAATAGTACCCACTGAGAAAAAAATATATAAAGGTGTCTGTTGTGTTCATTTAGTTTCGATTTCCACTTCATCTTCTTCACAGTGTTGTAAATAGTTCGATGCTATCATCATTCTTCTCTTCTTCATCTTTCTTTGCTTCTATTGGCTCAATCTAATAAAAGAACAGTCTATCAGAACGCTCGGACCAGACTGGCTGCTCACTTCACAGTGTCCCCGTAGCCCGGGACACAACATACATTTCTGGCGACGAGGATGGGATGAGCTATGTACACTGTACACATGCCGTCGGGGTCGCACTGCTTTTTAGTTGAGGAAGCCTCTGCACTATGGAGCACCACACAGACAGGAGATCTTCTCTTCCTCCAAGGGGAACTTGTAGTCGTACGTGATTTCTTCGTTGACGTTGAGTCTTCGTCATCGTCGTCGTCGTCATCCGATAGAATCTGTTCGACTTTTTTGTGCCGCTGCCGTTGTGAATAGCCCTGGGGCGTGCTTCTGCAGACATCGCCGAAGTGACCACGACGACCACACTTGTAACAGTAAAGGTTCCGGGCTGGGCACGTGTCGTAACTCTGGCAGCGTTCCAGCCCGTGTCCGCAGTTCGCACACGTTCGTCCATAAATTCTCTGATCGTTACGTCTTGGGGGTTGGTCTTGCCACGAGCTAGGCGAAGATGTGAATTGGACCGACCTACGACCTGGCTGTCCAGACCGTCGTGGTCCACCTCCAGACGATTGTTTTCGGCCGGTACCGCCACAAGTGGCACAGGGCGAAATAGCTGTGTTGTGTTGTTGTGTTCACCTAGTTTCGATTTCCACTTCATCTTCTTCACAGTGTTGTAAATAGTTCGATGCTATCATCATTTTTCTCTTCTTCATCTTCCTTTGCTTCTATTGGCTCAATCTAATAAAAGAACAGTCTATCAGAACGCTCGGACCAGACTGGCTGCTCACTTCACAGTGTCCCCGTAGCCCGGGACACAACAGTGTCCAATAAACGTGTAAGATCATATACACCTTTTATAATGTATACAATATCCGATGGTCTCCTATATCAAAGTTTCCTCGTTTAAATAGGGTAGCAGTAGGAGCAACAGTGGTAGTACTACTAAAGTAAAAGCTATAGTAGCAAATTCGGTAGAGCAGTACAGTAGGAGTAGCAGCACCAACCAAGGTAGTAGTAGCAACAAATGTTGTACTGGTAGTACTAACAATGGTAGTAATAGCAACAGTTGTAGTGCAGTAGTAATAGTTCCATATCCCCTGTTTATCACATAAACATCTGGGAACCCATCTTACCTCTGATCTATCATGGACTACTCATATAACCTCCGTCTTTGATGACGCTAACCGTACCCTCGAATTTTTGCGTCGCGACGTCAGACTAGAGGCACCGTCAGCCTACTGTTAACATCCAAGCTAGAATACGCTCCCTCTATATGGTCTCCATGGCAATCATAATTAGGTAACACCCTAGAAGCCGTTCAAAATAGATCACCCCAGCCAGCTAACCTACGCACACCTTCGCTTCGCCCGCCGTGCATTCCGCCTTTCTCTTCTTCATCGAATCTTTCATCACAACCGCCATCTCGGAGAATCCTTGCTAACACCTCCTCACCGAATTTTTCCCCTCTGAACTATTCTCTTAAATTACGTGAAATTTCTTCGTCCACAGTCTCTCATCAAATGTCTACATTACCACCGGCACATAAAAGGCTGGAATGCACTACCAACCACACTGTCTCTATCAATAACACTAATATAGGTGCAGCAGCCACAGTAATTTTCCTCTCTAATCCCCCAAATTAGATTACAGTGTTTTAGTATTGAGTGAATGTTGCGTTCCTTGTTTAATATTTGCCGGACCACTCCCTTGTGTAATACCTCCTTGCAGGTCCTCATAGGAAAACAAAAATAGCTTCGGCCTTTACCTTCAAGGTTCTATAATTCATGTAATGCATTATAGGGAATTAATGAGATAATTGGTATGTCACGTGCTACATATTTCCCCGCTAAATTTAGCGGGGAAACTGAATGGTTGTATTGGTCACGTGACGTCGATCCCCCCCCCCCCCCCCCCCTAAATTTAGTGGAGAAAACTGGATTCGTGTCCAGGTCGCAAGACGTGAATTTTCCCGCTAAATTTAGCGGGGGCAACTGAATTGGTGTATAGGTCACGTGACGTGAATTTCCCGCAAAATTTAGCGGGGAAACTGAATGGGTGCCTGGCCACAAGGCAAGAATTTTCCCGCTAAATTTAGCGGGAAAACTGAATGACGTGACGCCACTTTCCCCGCTAAATTTAGCGGAAGATGGACGGACGGACACAATTTCGGGATTGCGGAATAGCGTAAAAAACCATTTCATGCTTTAATAAAAGATGATGATGATGACCAGCAAACGAGGACAGTGAGTCAGTGTCCTCAGCGGCGTCAGCGTGTTGCCATCGAGATCTCTTCCAAGTTTTCGTAATCATTCGTCAAAAAAACATGAACGAGGGGAAAAATATTGCTTAACGTTTCAGGTCCATCAGATGCAAAACAATAATGCACCGCGTAAAAAAAAAAAAAAAAAATCATAACGATACAGTTGGTTGCAGTGCCACGATCTTCCGAGCGAGCTTTGTGTGCCAAGTCGTTCCCGGTCCCGTCACGACGCAGGATATGTGTTGGCGGAATTTCAGCTCCACATTTCGTCGCTTCCTTATCAACCTGTCCTTCCCGGCGGCGGCGGGAACGATAACGACGCCGGAAGAGCAAATAACAAACGTTGCCGCACCCTTCACATCACTCGAGAAAGGAAACCAGTGGCATCCTGTGAAGCGCCCCAGAAAATGCCCCACTACAAAAACAAGAAAAATTAAATTACGGTGGCATTTTGATGGTTATGCTAACACTTGCCTGAAATTGTCAAATTACTTTTAAAATAATAATTTCCTACAGAACAGCAGGGTATACATTACGCGACACTGTTAGCGCGAACAGGACATTGGCACACTTTCGCAGTTTAGGTTTTACCGCTTAGGTCAGTGTTACAAATGAGCACTTTCCACCACACAAGTAGTTTTGATGACAGCCTCTTGATTCTAAAAAAAGGGTAAAAAAAAAAATCTAGACAAGATCTAGCGATTGTTTGCAAGCGGCTTGCAGCGGGCAGTCTTTTATTTGCATTAATTGATTTAATTCAATGACTTTTGTTCAAGACGACATGTAAACATAACAAACTTATATCGTCTAAATGTACAAAACGGAAAGTTAACCAGCAGCGTCGTTACAAGGGATGAAAATTAATTACATTGCTCTGTCTTTTAAACGGCAAGGCCATATGAAAGGTTCTGCTATAGTTTTAAACTCCCTTCATAACCAACCTAATTAGCTTCGGCGTGCTTTCAACCACGTTGCAAACACGAAAGTAAAATCGGTACCGTTGAATAAATTTTCTTTACTTCTAGTAATTAGTAAACGTAATGGAACATTAGCCATTATCGAATACATAATGCGTTACGTAGCTCGTTAAATATAAACGAAGGTGATTGAATAGTAGAAACTTCATAACCAAAACATCATTAGCGTCTTGTCAACCCTTTAATAATGCCGCGCGGGCGGCGTGGAGTGATCGGGCTACGGAGATGTGCCCTAGATACAGCGAACAAAACGCACCTGGCTCGACCAACGAAATTGCGGGCAGGGGCGAGTTTGATTGACGCAAATGATCGCTTCAAATCAGGTCAATACGATAAGACGCAAACTACGACACACGCGTAGCCGTGGATACACCGTCGAACCACACACACACAAAAAAAGAACCAGGCAGTGGATACGCGATTTGATGCCATCGAGCGCGCGCCGATAGCGACAGGCAGCAACGAATGCGGGGAATAGCCGACTCCTTGAAGAGACGGTTTCAAAAGTCGGTGAAGGCAGACAGGGTCAACCGCCCCATGCGCAAACACAACAACAATGAACATCTGTCAACGCTGCTTCCCGTAGAAGTGACAAACGGCACGACAGGCAGCCGAGACCGATTGTCGGATCCTCGTCCGCAAAGGTGCATTATTAGTTCAATAACCTGAACTTGTTTCTTTTCCCAGTTCAATGTTTTCTCGGGTTCGACAGCTCGGCGTTTCCAGAGAATCGGATGTGCCGGGGATGTTCGCGGCTTGGGGCGAACGACACATGGTCAACGTCCGAGTCCGATGATTACGTCAAGCACGGGAATGAGAGACAGACGCGAAGCCGCGAAGAAAACAGAAATAAAACAAAAGAAAAATCGAATGAGAGCAGCAGCACCGCCCGCTAGAGCCACTGTGTTTTACCTCATGTCTCCGCCTTGTCCGCTCTGTTGCGCTGTGCGTTGGTCGGTGCAGGGTCATTTAAACGACCGTTGTCCACTTGGTAATTCCGAATGAGCGTCGAAGGCGGCACCAGTTTGAACGCGACGACTGTGTCGATCGCACCCGCGGCTCACGAGAGAAAAATCCTCAGGAGTCCTCGGTCGCCATGATGATAACAACACAGCCGGTGCATGATGGGTAAATTTGTTCTCTCTTTTGATTGGTTGTCGAAAGTGCGCTCATTTAGCCGTCGTCTAGTGCTTTAGAGTAGCAAGTTAAAACATTTTCTGGCCAAATATTTGCAAAGGCGTCATAAGTTCTTTTGTTATGATTTGTTTGAATTATTTACAATTCTTAGGAACACTTGTATAAATATTTTAATTCTTTGGTTTTAACTTCTAAATGTTTTTATTAAACGGAAATAATTAAACTAACTTATGCACTTCAATGTGAACAATCACAAACTAAAGTAACTTACTCAAACGTATAGCCGTATAATTACAAAATAATGATTTATAAATCTAATTCATTAAACTTTAATTAAAATGACACGAATTTGTTGCAAGAACGCTTTTAGTTAGTCCAGGAGGCGCCACATGTCATTCTCAGTCCTCTCAGTCTTGTGGGATTTTTTCAACGTCACGGAGTGTTTCGCGTGTCGGTAGCGGTCGGCTGTGATAGCTTAATTTTACATGCATCGGGCGTTAACCGTGCCCTCCTAGGATTTCTACACAATCATGACTTTCATAACGTCGTGGGAAGAATTTTCGAAAGCGGCCGAAAGGCTCTACCTGGCAGATCCGATGAAGGTAGGTGGAACAGTCGCCGGTCGCTCGCACGGCATGGTGTTGGCATGTCCATTTTTTCCGTGCATACCGGTAACATGCCCCAAGTTAGCGCAACATTCCACGCATACTGTGCTGTTACGGATCACCTAATACGTCTCATTAGGTCTGATTTCAACAAGAACGCATCGCTTGTTTCGATGTTTACCTCTGTCCAGCTGCTAGCTACTTGGAAACACCATACTGCACCAAAAACGCTATCCAGTCATCTCATGTTTCCCCTCTTTTCTTATTGTAACCTTTTCCTCTTACCACAGGTTAGGTTCATCGTCAAGTACAGACATTGCGACGGAAAGGTGCAAGTAAAGATAACAGATGATCAAGTGGTACGTGTCCTCAACCCGTAAACGAATCTCCTCATTCGAAATAAGTTGTCGCTTTGTTACCTACTGATGTCTTGGTACACTTGACGCGAATGATAGGCATCAACTCAAATGCGCAACTGTTTGACAGAAGGGGTGGCTAACAGAACGTTGGCTATCGAGGGTTATCAAGTTGTCAACTTGCCCATTACTAGCCTACTGGCGTAAACGCAAAGTTGAAGACAAAAAAAAAACGAGATATTACAAGACGCCTTATTGAAAAAAGCAAAAACAATAGTTCCAATGCAGTGTTTAGAAATCATGGTGTAAGGCGCAAAAAACAACGGGCACAAGAAAGAAAACAGACAAACAGGCGCCTGTTTTCTCTCTTGTGTCCATTGTTTTTTGCACCTTGCACCATGATTTCCAACGTTCACCAACTAGCCCAACTACAAGTTCTTCTGCATTGTTTAAAATTTAGTGTCTGTCGACCAAACTTCTCGGAATCCATTGCAGCATCTCCAGCTGTTACAAAGGTTGTTCAACTTGCCATTGCTGCAGTGACCACAGTAACCGTGCATAGACGTTGACACCAAGTTTGGTTTGACGCCATGTGGATGCACGGCTTATTAATTATCGTGGAAGACACAGGACTTGAACTCACAAATTTTTTTGTTTTTTTTTGTCAAGCGGCTCATTTTTCATTAAAGACTCGAGACTATTTGGCAACGTGCTTTGTTGCAACTTGCAAATGACATGCCACATTTTTCGAACCTCAAGATCAACCGTAGAACTGTCGCCCAGACATCCCTATAGGTTTAGCATAGGGCAACGCTTTTTCTTGTCATTGTGATTTACTACACCATCAAATAACAGTGACCGGGAACAAGAGACAGAAATGCTTGCCTAGGACTTACTAATGTGGGAATCGTAGGCAACCGACAAAAAAGCATAGCTTTGTTGCAGCAGTAGGCCACAACAGAGTATTGACACCACTTGTCTCCAGCCCAATAGTTCTCCCTAGCTGCGTTTAAGTGCATGGCACGAGATGCTGCACACGCTAGTCAGACGCAATTTGAACAGCAAGGCACGTCTTCTGAATGCCCGGCTTTAATGAATCTATCACCTTCTGCCGTGCTTTGACCGCGCATATACACTCGAGGGTCGCAAGCTCGTGCTGGAAGCGGGACAATTGAACCTATTGTTCTCATTTTCTCGGCAAGTGAAGAACTCGTCTAGAAAAAGAAGCTGTTTGATGTGGCTTTCATGCGTCCACACGGTTCCAAGTGCTGAATTGTGCAATCGTTTGGCAAAGTTGAATGTTGCGAGGCCGTGACGTTTTGGGCATGTTCACTTTGCAGTGCCTGCAGTACCTCACCGAGCACTCGCAAGATGTGAAAAGGATAGAGAAGCTCACCAATTTACTAATGAGGCACATGGCGTCCAAGGAACGGTGAACAAGACTGCTGCCGCAAGGGCAACACGCCTGTACAGTCGATGCCACACTAGCAGTGATGGCAGTGTGGATTTTCTTGGCTCCGAGCAGAATGTCGAGCTACGATTTCGGGGCAATTCCCTCATCATACTTTGGTAATCAAGACCAAGGGCGTTTTGCACTCATTCATTCTAACCTACACAATTTTTTTTTTTTTGCTTTGACATTATTCATTAACCACCGACAAATGCCTTGAAGACAAGTGTCGCGTGTACATAATCCAGTCTCTCTCAAACCGTCGTGACTAGGAAATGACTGTGCGGGGAAAACTGCCCTCAGAGTGTGGGTGGCAGTTTTTTTTGTTCTTATTTAGGCATGTGGTATTACAACTGTGACGCATTTATGAGCATTCTGTTGGTATTGTGTGTGAAGCTCATGGTTACTGAAACTGTGCTGCAGTACTTTAAAACATAAACAATGTTAATGCAAAAAATGTTTCGAATGGTGCACGCTGCGCCGCGACAGAACTTTTCAAATAAATTTTCGTATTTCGAAACCACTGCCGATCGTCTCAAACTACTTTTTCCCCCCATTGAAAGACTCGCATGACATTACGCAAGAATCCAGACACATTTATTGTAGAAAAAAACTTCACACTCGCAAACAAATAACTATACCGAGAAAAAAAAAAAGGCATTAAATTGCTGCCTCGCTCCAAGCTTTGCATTGTCAAGAAAACAAACAGCAACGCTCACAGAAGAACTTTTCAAAGCTAGCACCATTTCATACAAACAGCCTTCGCGGGAAGGAAAAGTCGCCATCCCGACAGTGTGTTGTGGTTTAGGCCAGACTTAAAAAAAATGCCAGGTGTCAGTCAACGCGGCAAAAAGGGGGGACGACGGGAGAGTCAGTTTTCGCTTCCACACATCCTTTCTCTCGTCGGCAGAATAGGCACACTCCAATAATGAGCACGATTATATTAATTCCAAGAACAACAAAAAACCTCGCAGGTATGAGAAACTTCCTGGACAATGGTTGGCTCGTTCACACTCGACGCTAAGCACAGTGGGTTCGTTAAATTAAATGTGGCGAGCGTCCTTGACTCTGGAGGAAGGCCGGACTCTATGTACAAGGGCTTCTGGCGTCTCGAATTCGGGAGCCGCAGTTCCGACGCCTACCTTGATGCTGGAAGAGAAGAAGCAACGACACGAGGTGAGAACGTCGCTGCAACATTTCCCGATGCAAAGGCGGTCGACTGGAACATGAAAGTTGCATTCATGAAGCTAATCGTTCCATTGAAAAACCGTCCATAGCAATACATTGGCAACGCATGTCGTCATTCACGTTGGGAGGAACAATGTGTCCCAACGCAAGTTGAAATGTAGGATTGCAATTGGCATAACTTTGGATAGCCGTCTAAGCTGGTGCGAGTATACTACAGTGATGTCTCGAAATATGGAAACCCCTGCAAGAAAGACGCACGCATTTACCCAATCAGTTCCCGAAAATGTTGCCTACATGGCGGAGTTTCCATTTTGACTAGATTTGCATTAACGACTGTACCTGAAAGGCACTCTGTACAAGCGCGAAAATTCCGGTGAATATGGTGGCAGTTATGACCTCAGCTACACTTAGAACATTTCAATAAAAAGCTTGCGTGCTCCTTGCTTGTGCATTAAAAGTATCATAAGCTCTCATAAAATATCTCTGGATGCACATGTGTACTTGGAACAAAGTAATAAGATGGAGAACTGCGCCAGTTGGTTGACGTTATTCATGATGGGGATGGGGACCAAAGTGTCGCTGAACGCCAAACTAACGCCCGCGTGTTGGGTGTGGACGAAGACACCACCAGAGGGATTGAGGACGCCCATGTCAAAGCAGTGGTGCGAGAAAAGGGGTATGGCCCTTTTCTCAATTTCGGAATAGCGAATATTTCAGTTGAACAAACTTTATCGGTGGACCCAGGATTATTTTTGCAATCGGTCCAACAGTGCTAGCGTAGCCAATGCCCGCCACCTCCACGTCTGCTGCAGCGGCGTATCATCGTATCAGCCATACGTTACAGAACTCCATAAAAAACAACACATTTTGCGTTAAAATTTTTAAAAAATCCTCAAGAAGTTTTCACAAGGCGCAGAAGTGAAAAGGATGCCAAAAGGGTGTCGGGACAATCCCTTCGGGCATCCCCTTCGCCGGCAAGGTCGTAGGGCTGAATTCCTGGCATCGCCTATAAGAGGGCAATGCGGGGGCATAGACTGGAGCCTGGCGCTACATCACAATTCAACCAGGACTCGCGTTCAATCAGTGACAACACGTCTTCCAGCCAAATGCTGACACAACATTCGTGTCCCGCCCCCTTGCCCCGGTCTCTTGTAGGCGTTGCCAGAAAGTCTGTGCCGTGGCCTCGGCATCCGCGAGAAGTTACCAGGCAGTCGAAACAGGAGCGAACTGGGAAAGGATTCGGAGGAGGGGAGCGGGGGGAGCACCTGCGGCCAGCGGAGTGCCCTTGGCGGTGGTCTCCTGCCGCCACTTCTGGACGGCCTCTCGGTGGGCGTCGGGGAGGATCTGGTTGCGCACCCCTCCGAGCACGCTGGAGGTGGCCTCGGTGGCCACGATGATGGGGCGCACCACCGTCGGGGGCAGCTGCCTCAGCACCCCTCCCAGGGCGCCGCTCACCCCCTTCTGCCGGTGCTCCTGGGACGCCGCCTGCACCAGCGTCCTGGCCGTGTCGCCCAGACCCTGGAGCGAAAGAGACCACGAACGACGTCGCTACCACAGGACCGAACTCTCGGGCTACTCGACTTTCGCTCGGAATCGAGCCGCAAGACCCTCCGGCCTTCCTGCAAAGTTAGAACTCTCGGACCTACGTCGGAGAATTGACCCTGACCCCCTCGCTTCTCCCTCGGTGACCGAACCCTCGACATACGTTGTCATAGGACCCATTTTCCGGCCCTGCCCTCGAGGCGGTGGCATAGCCAAGAATTTTCTGTCGGAAAGACGAGGTGATAGCTCCACCCTGCCTACGCCACTGACCCGGGGAGTTATCTTTGATTTTGCTAGAATTCTCTTGCGTGCCGACATTGGATACGTCGGTGAAACATTGGGGGCAGGTCGGCCTCAAATTGGCAGATGCGAAATTCTATACACGTAGGCGTCGGGCAGATATGACTAGGCCAGAGAGAGATAGGAAGCAATCCAGCTCCTGCACAAAGTTCTGGTACGGGCCGTCATAGAAAAAATGTGGGGTAAACCAGGAAAATATTGGGGCCATGTCGGCCCTTCATTGGCCCAACCAAAATTCTACACATGGTGAATTGGGCAGATATTGGCTCAACCAGGGAGAGATACCGAACAAACTAGGTCCTGCACCAAGTTTTGGCATCATGTGCCGACATCGATCAAATACTAGGTAGACCGGGAAAGCTTGGGGGAAGTGCAGCACCACATCGGCCCATGCAAAACAACGTCCTCGCAGTCGTGCGTGGCTTTGAATACAGCGCACCTCGCTTATCACACAACCACCAAACTTTCTCAAAATGCGTCTGCTACGAGTGGAGTGGCATTGCAACGTGATAAGCTGTAGTCCAAATTAGTCGTTTCCATGAAGTATGTTTGTTAGAACAGAAGTTTATTATGGCAAAAGTTTAGCGTAGTATAAGTGGGCGTCACGGCATCCAGCACCACAGCGGTCTCAACAGCATTCTTTCCGACGTGGTTACATTCCGAAAGAAAGTCTCGAAGATGCGACAGCTTACCTCGGTCACAACGTGGTAGGCATTGGCCACCCCTTCCCTGATGTCCACGGGCTGCGCGTTGGCAATGGCCCGGTGGTGGTAGCGGCCCTGCGTCTCCACCTTGAGGCTCGGTCCGGGGGAGAGCATGTCGTACGCCAGTTCAGCCGCACCCTGGGGCGGCAAAAAGGAAATTGCGAGGCATGAAACAAAGAGTCGCATCACATAAAAATGTACCATGTACCCAGACTGAAAAACACTTTTTTTAATCCCCTTTATCTAAGTGTGCTGTTTTTGTAACACTTTACAGAAAAAATCTTTTCAACTTGCTCCATTATTTCGACCCTTGCACTATCCCTGCAAAGTTTAAAAAAGCGGTCAGTGGTTCTGTAAAATTATGTTATGTGCCTATTTGTACGGCGGAAAGGTAAGTAAGTCCTAGTGGGCATCTGTTGTCTCTCGGCTGTATGTTTGTCTATTTTATTTATTTATTAATACAGTTGGCCTTCTCTAGGAGTTCATTGCAGGAGGTTCATAGATACTTACACAATTGCAGCACACTTGAAACAAACAAAATAAACTTCAAAAGTATTCGAAATTACCATTTCTAAAAAGTATGTGAACCTAAGAAAAGGAAAGCATGATACCATTTCAGCTCAAATGTACACATGTAAAAACATGATATTTGAAAAGGTAGCACCAGTAGCATACACTCACTCTTTTAAAATAACCCTTTTTTTTTTACAGTTGCTGATTAATTTTTTGGGCTCGGAGGGGATCATGAAATTGCCCGAATAATCGAGTGGTCCGAAAAATCGATTTCAGAAAAATTATAAAATTTCCGGCATCCTCCGCTGTGCATTGGCCACTTTCCACTTGCTTGACGTCAAGTTTAAGTTCTCGTGCAACATCCTATTTATGCTGTTCACTTTTCACTTGTTTGTTGATCTGTTTGATCACCGTGCTGCGCTTTGTCGGCGCCTTCGTTGGCACAAACAGCGAAGTTGAAGTTGGCACCGTTTGGAGAAAACGCTTTGTCCATCAAGCTCGCTTCAATACCAAGCCTATCGGCAAAAAACCTTCGCGCTCAAAGACCACGAGAACGGCAGACGGCCGCGTTTCTCGCGGTCGCACCGGAAAAACACAGACCACAAGAACAACTGGTTGAGCCATAAGAATGGGCAGACAGCGGCCATGTTGGCTATAGCATAAACGGAAAACCCAGCTATAGCCTCAACCCAGCTTGTTTATTGCGTAGGACGTGGCATCGAGGCTACAGGGCAAAATCCAAACAACCGAAATGGCGGCGACTAAGCTCGCAGCACTATCGCAGCGGTCAATCGGTGACTGTAATTGGGAAGACAGATGTTCTAACGAAGATTAAAAAGATTACATGCATCAGAGGAGTTAACACGCTCTTGAGGGCCCCCGTTGCACTCTCCAACCGCTTCAATAAACAACAAGCTTGATCACGCTGACAAAGACCAGGGGCCCAAATCTCCCCTTCAAAACCAAGCGGGACCAAGTTGATTTAGTGGTTTTTGAGGACGCTTAGCAAGTTTGTCACAGGAACCATACGTTTATTTTCACTAATTAAAAAGTTAATTAGTAAATATCTGTTAATTATTCTGCTAATTAGCGTGTCTTTTCCAATCCTCGACGTCTGCCGTGGCTGGCAGTTTGTTCCCAGAAGGAGTTCCTTCTCTTCTCAACCACTTTATTTTTAGGAATTTTTGAAAGCCTTCTCCGAAACAACCGGTATATAACCTTAACATCGTGCAACGCTCCCAGGGTGTTGCTCGCCCACGACGCCCGTTCACGACGACTTTCCCATGAAAAAAAGACTCGTAAAACGCATTCCGTCTTAAGATGAAAGTTTGAAAACACGTCGGTCCTCTTGTTGGAGGGTCGAAGCGTCTTGTCGCAATTTGGTTAGGATACAAACAGAGCTGGCTGCATTACCTGTACGGTCTGCACCATCCTGTTTGTGAGCTCGAGGCAGGCCATGGCAGTGGAGGTCGTGAAGGAGTTTGCTCCACGCTGGAGGCCCCGCACGATCCGGCCGTCCCTCCGGTACTGTTCCACCGGCAGCCAGACCAGGTCCCGCATCCCGTTGACTGCACGCGACAAAATTGCGGCACCCTTAGCGACGACCCAAAGCGGGAAAACGACAACGTGGGGCAGACCCAAAACAAACAGATCTCGCACGCTTCAAACCGACAGCTAAGTGAAGAATACCGGATGTTGCACTTTCTTCGTGCAAGCATGGAGTGTTCGCGTTTTAATTGCAACGGTCAATCATTATCAATTAGTCTCTTCGATATTTCTTTTTTTTTTTTTTACTTGCTCTAGGGAGTAATGTATCGTTTCTGATATATCATGACCCATGCTGGATAGGCAAACTGCACCGCACTTGTGGTAACACGGCGCGATCGACAAAGAAAACAAAGGCAAACGAGACGAATGAAAAGCCGCATCCTTCGACGTACACAGCTGCACGAAGGAGTGCATGGGTCCCACTCCACCGAGGACGCTGGGCAGCTGGTTTTTCTTGATGTCGTTGAGCCATTCGTTGAGCACAAATGCCAGCAGCTTGTCCATCCCCAACAACCTGCAACACAAAAAAAACGACAGCCTCGCTTTTACCAATCCAACGTCTTAGAAAGCCCTTGACCTGTTACAGCCCTCCAAGACGGCCGTGAAACAAACACGTAATTGCATGCTTTGGCTCGAACTCACCCCTGCCTGTAGCACAGCCTCTTGAGTGTGAGCTCAAGGCAGTTCAGTTGCCCAAGTCCCATGAGCAGCCCTGCTAAAGCACCCTGAAACAAAACAAAAAATATTATTGCAAGTTCTACGAATTATTCTCTTCAATATCCAAGCTTGACCCAGCACTAGTAGTTTCCCAAAGCTAACAGGTTCTAAAACATCCTGAAGTAACGCCTTGCATCGCAAATGAAAGAGGTGTTGTTGCGTACACTCCTAACCTAATTTGTGTGCCTCTGGCAGTTATATGGGAGCTGCAAGAAGTATGGTGCACACAAAAAATTGCCAAAGCATTTTTACCTAACAATGCTACGCTATTACGAAGAGCTAACCTCTCAGTGCCGAGTCCTAATGTTTCCAATGACGCTAGTGCCTCTAACGTACACCTCATATAATGACATGACAAAAGCTTACCTGGTCCATAGCTACCCTTTTCCCGTGGTAGTCCAACCGAATAGGGACATCCGGGGAAAACACAAAAGACCTGTAGAAAGCACAAAACCATTGCAGTGACTGCTACTGTGGGCAGTACTCCGGGGGACCCCCAGGGGTTCCCTCCAAGTTCTTTAGAGCATGCCTACAGCTTCCCTAAAATATCCCCAGGTATTCCCCAGAACATCTGAACACCTTCCCTAAGATATCCCCAACCTTTCCCTAAAAGTTTTCCAGGGATGTATGCCACATGTTTTCCTGCAGATGTTGAGTGCAGAAACAGGCCAGCTTCACATTCTTTTTTCTACGCCTGCACCTAAAGGCATGTGCCACTGTAACTTATGATCAGACTACTTTAAAAACAGACGACTGGTAAAAGCTAAGACAAAAATTTCGAGGGAAATATTAGAGGCATATGTAATCAACAGGGAAGGTACAGACAAATGTCATTCAGACATCAGCTATTCTACATAGAAGAGATTGAAAGACACATGCTTTCATCATTGGGGCTCTGTTTTTGATAATTGTTCAGCTCTTCTCCCACCTATTACCATCGTCTTTTTCGTAGTCAATTTTTGTCGAATCGTGAACCAACTTTTCCAGGTTTTTCAAAATTATTTTATAACGAGAACGAGTTTGATGAATGGTGCTAAAAGAAGGGTTTCTAACCTGATGAAGAGGGGAACGGGGCCCGAACTGGAGCTAGATCCTGCCGGAGACACCAAGTCTTCCGCGGTCTTGGGGTCTTCGTCCCTGACCAGTACCAGAAGCTGACCCGCGGGTTCGCCGGGCACCAGGACACACGAGGAGAGCTGGGGATCTTTCGGAAAATGGACGCGCTTCTCTTCCACGCCTGGAATGAAAACGGAAACGTAAGAGAGGGTGCTGCAACCCGTCGATAAGCCTTCTGCTTAAGACTTTTCTGCAGGGCACGCCAAGACCCAATCACTGCTATCAACACAAAAGGCTCGATGGATGATGAAGCAGGCCGATGCTTCCAGACAGAATGTCCAGAATCAGCGCAACTTCAAGGTCTTCAGGATATGTCTTTTAAGTTTCATTTGTCAAGCCCCTTCTCCGGATCGCAACGGTCGGCTCTGAACTTAGATTGTGGGAAAGTAGATGGGTTCTTCGTAAGCTGGTGGCTAAGAATCGAGAAAAGTGTGGTAATTTTAATCATCAACATCACCTAGATCGTCTGTTGATATCCAGTCAGGTCCTAAGCTGAGGAAATCAGACTAAAAAGAAAAGCACTCACAACCATAAAATATTACACTGCTTTTTGAAAAAAAAAACAAAAAAACATGGCAGGAGATGCAGTCCTAAAAAACAGTTGCTTTAACTAGGATTCTGCGTTTTCGAATAAATCCGAAACAATCCCAAAAACAGTCGCCGGTAAATTTTCCGTCAATTCAGATTTATAAAAAAAGATTTCCAGGTCATAGTGACACAATCAAAAGCAAAAAAAGATTGTATTTTCGAAGTAAACTTTGTAAGAGCACAAGGTCAGTGGTCCTGGGGAGGTGCAACTTCACTTTCCATTGAAATCTCAAAATACTGACAAAAGAGGTTTGCCTTTCAGCTTCTCAAGGTTCCTTCGGACAATGGTGAACTTTGTTTAACTTTCTGCTTTGCTTTTTAATTAAAAAAAAAATTTAAAACAATGTGAATTTCAGGGAATGGGAAATCTAACAAGAAATAAACTCTGATACTCCACGAATTTACAGCGGAAAATCAATTCAGAAAAACACCCTCTGAATTTCACGAGAAATAAACCAAGAAAACCCTAGTTACAACCTTTAAAGCGAGCCTTTTCAGAAATTTCATGGCACGTAACTTCGACAGAACAACTCTACGTAAATCGCACAGAACAACTATTACACAACTTCTACGAAAGAAAGTGGCATACCACTCGTTTTGACGGGATCCGAGAGGTCGACGGACGAGGAAGCGGACGACACAGTCGGGGACACTGACGACACCTTCGAGAAGAACTCGTACAGGAAGAGGAGGGCGTCCTGAAAGACGACAAAAGCGAAGGATTCGCAATTTCAATCGTGCGCAGGGAGACGCAGTCGTGTGCAAGAGGGCACCGCAACGGGTGTCACCCACCTGGTCAATGTTGAACCTGAGTGGCTTGAGCGACACCCGTATGCTGCACTCGCGGGCTGGAGCATTCAGGTCGGGCCGGATGTGAAGCAGCTTCACCACTACCTACCAACAAAAAAAGAAGAAAAAAAAAAAATTATGCAGGCTTGATCATGTTGACGAAAACCGGAGAGCACGGAATGTGTTCTGGGCACATACTACGTGCGTCACGAGGCGACATGACTGCGACGTCACACGCTCTCATGGTGTCACACGGTGACACGACGTCGTTGTGTCGGACGACATTATGTCGCACCGTAATGTCATGGTGTCACACTAACACCTGGCCTCTGTATCATGGTGTCACAGTGTGACGTGACATCAATGTGTCACTTGACATCACGTCACACCATAGTGTCGTGCGATATGCCGTGACATCACGACGTCAATAATGTCCTAAAGTCAAGCGATGTTATAATGTTTCTTGCGACACTTTTTCACGACGGTCTTCCTGTCAAATCCAGCTGATGAAACGGATCCCGTCTTGAAAGAAACTCGCATTATCATACCTGCCAACCTATGGGCTTTCAAAATCGTGAAATCCCACGGCCGCGGGGGGGGGGGGGGGGGGGGGGGGGGCGGGGGCGGGGGCTTCACGCAAAGTGATGTGCAGCTTAATCTCAGCCTTGCCACCGTGCGAAACGCTTACATCACACGTGCACGTGCTACAGAATCCAAACTCCTTTTCCTTTTTGGACGGCACGAAGCACGGGAATTCCGACATGTAGGACTTCAGGAACACCTGAAAGTACCTCTTTTGAGGTCTGTAGTTTGCCACTGCGCCGCGAAGCCACCGTGACTAAGGGAATGCTACGATTACACGTGCAACACACACAAACACAGATGTCGCACTGCTCACCTCGAAACTGGCCGAAACAGAGGCCCAACCACGTCTGAACATGCCGAACCGGCCGAACCAACGTGTGCCACCGAACACACGAAAAAAAGGCTTTGGGCTTCGGATTGGTGTCGGATCCGTGACCACCGGATAGACAGATAGTAAAAACCACGACGCTGCCATGGACGGTACTTATCGCCCTCTTCTGTTGATGCAAAGTACCGCCAACAATAATTTTACACAAAAAAAAAAAAAAAAATTATGTAAGTTTTTTTTTGTAAAATTGTAAAACTTGTCCCAATTCGTACATTTTACGAAAAATTCGGAAGAGTTGGCAGGTATGCATTATGCCCTTTGTATTTAGCAAGCCCTTTGGGTAGATCCCCCACCCACCATGTTGGCGTGCGACTGCCTGGGCATGGTCTCCGAGGCGTACTGGTACAGGAACTTGTTGATCTTGGAGGCCGCCAGGCGGTCCCGGATCTCCACGTCTTGGATGAGGAGCACCTGCCGAGACGCCTGCAGGGTGTCCTCAGGGTACTCCTCGTGCTGGAACTGGATCTGCAAGAGCCCAGACCAGTTTCGAGGGGCACCTAAGATCGCCGAAAGAGCTGCTAGAGTTACGGTTACTTGAGCCAAAATGTAACCGGTTAGGAGTAGTTACATTTTTCCAAATGTATCCAACTGCAGTTACTTGCAAATCTTCACCGAGGCACGTTCCAGTCACTTTAAAAATATTGCGCGACATTGAGGTACGCTGCAATCGCTGCCAATGATTCAGTTTCCAGAGCAGGAACAATATTTCGCAGCTCCATTTAGACTCGGCACCGTGCTCCCGACAGAGCTCGAGGCGGCGACGACGGTAGGTGACCATGCTGAGACAAACTCGATATGAATTTGTTTATTTTTCGACAGAATCGTTAAGTGGATGCAACTGAGCTAAGTTACGAGGTAGTCCGAAGACAACTAAATTGCAGTAACAGAGATCCCACTGCAGCTTGGAAGTATCTGGTTACAGCAAACGTAACCAACTACTCCGACTCGAACGTCTTCAATTAGTTCCTCTACAACGCCGATGTCCTCGGTGCACCGCCATGCTTCTCGGCATCATGGCTCCTATTTCTTCCAACTGCCAAAAAGGTGGCAGTCGGGTCGAAACAGCCAAATAAGCGGGTGGACGGCGGTGAATGTGATTTTTGCGACACGCGGGTGTTCGCAACGAAACCCGGCACGGGCTGGGTACGGGCAGAGCCGTATGTGGAGAGAGCTTGGTCAATGGGGAAGGAGTGGGCAGAGCCAGGGCGTGCACCAGACGCAGATAGAAGGCGTGACGCGGGTAGAAAATGCACTTATTAATTTTGTTTCTCGCAACCACCGCCAGGACATTATTTGCGGCCTCTGGCTGGCTAGATTTGAATCTGTGAAGACACCCTGGAACACGCCCAGCCCGCCCTCAGCCGATGCTGCCTCCTATACTTTCTAATGAATGGCCAAACTCTCTCAATATGTACCTCCAGGTATGGGAACGTGGAGGTTCACCTTGTTCATCTGCAGCTCCATGAGGACGTCGTTCCGCCTGCCGGGCCCCCCCACCCACTCGGCGTGGCGCCGCGGGGTGGACGGCGACTGTGGAACAAACTCGGCATTGCTGCCGCGCTTGCTGTACGACGCGCTGCCCCCGCACTGCTCCAGGATCACATTCCCGTAACTGCGGGATCAACGAAAGCTTCGTCGGACTGGGTCCACAACGAGGAGCCGGTCGGGAGGGAGAACGAAACACACTCAAAAGACGAGAACTAGGAATCGAGGCCCATTTGCGTGCTTGCGTCCGCCGACGCGACGACCAAGGTCCTTCGATCTCTTACGCTGAGAGAAAACGCCAGCACACCGGCACTGTCCACGGGGTGGCCCTGGAACTGCACTTCCCTTTGCAGTATTTGCGAAACCAAATGTATGTATTATCTAAGAGAAATGGTCGCTTATAACATTATCAGAAGTTTCTGGAGCCAAGAAAAAAAAGAATTACGGACGAAAAAATAGGAAATGTACGGAAATGCAGAGTTCCACGGCTATTCGATAGATATCCCCAGTATGTTCTCTTATCGTAAGAGATCCTAAGAAGTTTTAAGGCGCTTGGACGTAAGCAGATAACTGAAAGCGCACTAACAAACGTCGGTTCTCGATGAGTTGAGTCCAAGCCTGAGCGACATTGCTTTGGCCAGTCAGTAGCCCCTTGGAGGGCAAGAGATCACTCACTTCTCAAAGGGATCGTCGTCCTCCCTGAAGTTCGCGTCCTTCTCCGACGAGTTCGCCGACCCTGTTGAAAGAAGACGTCCTCAAAACTCGACATTGGACAAAGAAAAGCTGTAAGACAAACAAGAAAGATGGCAATGGTGTGTCGCTGCAACCTCCCGCGAGCTCGCGAAAAAAAAACAACGAAACAGTAAGATTGATGGTGGGAAGTTCCGTCGCTACTTCTACGATTAATGACATATTATTAATAGAACTACGCTACCGGTGCAACAAAAAGCTGCATTTGGACGTCCTGAATGCGAGAGTTTACGAAAGCGTGCAATGAACCAACGCCTATTCCAGAATTCTCACGAGATTTCGTTCAGGTATACATACAGTCAGTGGCGGATCCAAGGGGGAGGGGGGGGGGGGGACGAAGGCGGCCACCCCCCCTCAAAAACGAAGTTGACCCCCCCCCCCTCCCCCCCCCCCCCCCTTCTCGGAGGGCAATTTGACATGGGTGGACCCCCCTTGCACAAGAAAGAATGGGAGAATAGTATCCTTACAAATTTTCCGCCCTCCCCCAAAACGGAGTTCTGGATCCGCCCCTGCACACAGTGTCAGACACTTCGAAACTTTTCCAGCCTCTCCATCCTTTGCAGTAAGGAGGCCACTGAAGGGAACATTGCAAGGGTCTTGTGAATGTATAAAGTCCTCATAGAATCACGTGACAATATAATGTCACGTGACATCATGTCACATGACGTCATTGTCATGTGACCTCAGGGTGTTATGTGATAGCATGTCACTTATGTCACATGACATCAGTGTCACGTGATCTCACGGTGTCCTCTGATGACATGATGTAACATGACATCAGTGTCACATGACCTCACGGTGTCCTGTGATGACATGACGACACGCGACGTCACAAAAGACCCCCCCAAGTACTATTAATTTAGAATTTATAGAACCATCACCAAGGCTGGTCCTATTAATGCTAGGCATTTAAAACAAACCCCCAACTTGAAAAAGAACTAAATCCCGAGAAACGGGGAACCTTAGCCACGCAGCGAGTCGCCCAACGGCCTCACTGGAATTTGTGGCGCCGAAGTCACTGCCACCGTAGAGGTGCCACACAAGGGACATCTCCCGGAGACTGTACTTCTGCACGGCCGGAGGGAAGTCCTTGGGCGCCCGGAGCTGGTCCGTCTTGCGCACGGGCACCGTGAAGTAGTTCTCCACCAGCTGGATGGGCTCCGTCACCAGCAGACGCACCCGCGGCTCACCACTGCGAGGCTGCAATGGAGGCGGCCATGTTGCAACACCCCAATATTAGGATCTCTCTCTCCCACGACATTCTCTTCTGGACCTCATAGGAAACGGTGCTATCAGTGCAGTCGGGGATGATACCACAGTCCTTACAGTGGTATCGTCCACTACACTGAAATGAAAAAAAACTCAGAGGTCTCCACAAGATAACCATATCTTCTCAGCCACCACGAGGTGAAGTCTTTTTTTCGGCTGTTCAGTGCAGCAGAGCAACATGCCAAGCATTCCCCAGAGTGTGCCTTACTGTTTAGGAGCTACGTCACCTGTGTTAACGCAATAAAGTGGCAAGAACTGGTGAACGTTAAACATCATGAAAAACAAAGCTCGATGGGACAGAACAGACGGAAGGAACACAGGACGAACATGCGTTGTTTGTCTTGAGTTCCTTCCTTCTAGAGCGCAGCTCTTGGGCGCCCGTTTCGGCTTGAGCGGCATCGCCCTCGCCGCCGGTGTAACCGCACGCATTGCATTATGGGAATAATGCAGCTGGGCATAACCACGCGTTGCATTATGAGAAAATTTCCCCCCTAAATATAGCGAAAAAAATTTCCCGCTAAATTTAGTAGAAAAAAATTCCACGCTAAATTTAGTAAAAAAATTTCCCGCTAAATTTAGCGGAAAAGATTCCCCGCTACATTTAACGGAAAAATTTCCCCAATAAAATAAGCGCAAAACTTTCCCGCCAATTGGGAGGGGAGCAGGAGAGGAGGAGGGAAGGGTATGAAGGGGGAGGAGGTGCATACTTTCTCCTCCTCCTCCTCAAGAGCTGCACTCTAATTCGGCATTACAGAGAATTGTAAACGCCTTTCATTTTTTTTCCTGTCCCTTTTGAGCACTGTTTTTCATGGTGTTGCCACAAAAATGCCAAGACCACGAGGCAATTAATCAAAAGCAATTGGTGTTCTCGACATCAAAAGCTTGCGGTGCACACTAGGAATTACATATCCCTAGTGTGTACACAACCCTCTAGGGATTACAAGTCCCTACTGTGTGCCCAAGTGTGCACAGGACACAAACTAGGGAGTACTAGGGCCCACACCAGGGATTATGAATCCCTACTGTGTGCTCTAGTCCAGTGGTTCCCAAACGAGTGTCCGCGGACCACCAAAGGGTCCGCGAAGGCATTGAGTCCGCAAGCCCTGCCTCATCAGTCAAGCCCGGCAAAAAAACAAGTTGCCTTTTTTCCCGATTGAGAAGAGGCGTTTCAATTTTCAGGTGAGTTTTCTCAAGTGTATGTTAATGATAGAAGCCTACCTCACACTAGCCTTTAGTTATATCCATTTATTAAATCATTATCACAATTAACCTATACCTATACCTTTCCCTCACCACAAACAGTTTCCTCCATCATCTCCGCCGACCGACAAGTGATCTGTGAAACATCAATAGTTGAGAACCACTGCTCTAGCCTGTGAAGAACACACTAGAAAATTGTAGGGCAAACGTTAGGAATTACATATCCCCAGTCTGTAGAGGGCCCACAATAGACTTACACATCCCTACTGCATGCCCCATCAGCAGAGGGAACACACTAAGGATTATGAGTGCCCTACTGTGCAAAGGGAACACTAGAAAAGAGACAAAATGCTTGTGATCACAAATCCTACACTTCGTTCACCCTAAAGCTGAAACCGCTCACCCTTAAGCTGGGACCTTCAGCATGAGCTCGCTAGCTTCCGCAGTGCTCTGGTTGCGCGTGCCTGCGCGTTCGCACTTGCGTCAGCACTTGCGCCGAAGACGGAGCTTCTAGTCTTGAACAGAGTATAGTGCGTGATGTGTGCATTACGTGTGCCAAGAGAACACTAGGGATTATAGATCCATACTCTGCGCTCTAGTGTGTGTAAGGGGCACACACTAGGGATTACAAATCCCCAATAAGTAGAGGGCACGCTAGGGATTACAGATCCCTAATGTGTGCCCAGTGCCAATGAGGTACACACTAAGGACTACAGATTAAAAAAAAAACACACTCACGACAATGCCGGTACCCGGATCATTCTCGAGGATGCAGAACTCCTCGTCCGGCGAGGAGTCGGACTCTTGCTCACGTGGAGCAGGCGCAACCCTCCCGTGCGACCTCTTCCTGGGAGACTCCGGGGTCCGGAAGTCCGGCTCCGGACGATGGTGCTCCCTGGCCTCCTCGTAGGCGTCATCAAAATCTTCGTTGTTGTCGCTGCTGTCCACCCTCATGAAGGAGGGAGGGGACTCCCCGTCTGCAAAGCAGCGCATCCTACTTCTTGAGACATTCCCAGGATCAGGCTTTTTTTTTTTTTACCCTTGAGATACAAAGCTGGTGGAATCCCTTTGCAAGGAAACAGAAGGGTCAGACAAAAGCTGTTTGTTTTAGCAGAAGAAAAGACCGCTTTGCAAACGCAAGCAAATTACTCTTTTGCAAAGTTCTGCTTATCTAGAGAGAGCCCTTCCCTTTCGGAAATCTTTTTGCAAGGTTCTGCTCACCTAGGAAGTTTAACCCACCTCAGCACATATCGCAGTTCCACCTAGAGAGATTATACTCTAAGTCAAACAAACCTGCACAAAAACCTAACTTTGTTCTCATCAGGGGTGGGTAAGAGAAAAGGGCCAAGCTCAAAGAAATATAGAGATTTGCAAAAGATAGGAACAAGCGAAACCACACAAAAACAAAACACCTTTAGAAGTTCAAAAGGCATCGTTCATGCTCGGTCAAAGTTCCTATGGCAACGCACAAAGCAACGTAGCATCCAGATTGGTCCTGCCCTCTTGTTGCTAGCTCGGACAAGACGAGGAGATTGGATGTAACAAAGAGCAAGCGGCCAGTCGAGCAACCTGCAGCACGCTCACCGCTACTGGGGCTCGGAGATCCCGAGCCCGATCCGCTCGACTCCCTCATGGCTTCCGCCATTAGACTGTCGAAGTGGTCCGCCTGAGACTGGGACAGGCTGGTCAGATTCTCTGGCGTGGTCACCTGCAATGGAAGTATACCTGCGTCAGCACACCTCGAGATGCCTGCATTCTCTCGTACATCTGTTCTACGCACGACACACCGTGGTCCTATGAGAATCTTTTCAGTGAAGGACATTTTTCAAAGGAAATTTACTAATGTTGTGTTACTAGTGTTGCTTCAAGATGAACTGCAATACTTATACTTTTCGAACTGTCGGTCTTGGTGGGTTAGCCCTGTTTGGTGCACTTCTCAGCCAGCACCCGTGCGCTGCGGGGAAGCCATATCCACGAAGCTTGCAGGCTCTGCGAGTATTGCTTCCCCACAGTGCACAGGTGCTCGGTGAGAAGCGCACTCAACGGGGTAACCCATCGCGATTATGCAGGAGAATTGTATGTTACGCAGCGATGTCTTGACAACCTGCGTTCATCATTCGTGCTTGTCTTTTTTTTTCTTTTTTTTTGCCAAATTTGGAATTGAAGAATATTTGCATATAGCAAGAAAAAATTAAAAATCCCCTCAATTAGGATAGCTGCGACAAATTTGTTGTTTATGTGTGACAGTTCATAAATGTGGTTAAAGTAAAATTCCGAAAGGACGCCCTCTCCTGAGAGATCGCCCATCCCATTTTTCTGGCTATTAAATTTTCTTTTAAGCAAGGTGCATGGTAGCAAAAGGCTTACAGAAACTATAAGATATTCTGATAAAAAATATTTGACAAAAACCACTATTCGCTTTGAATTCCCTTCGAACTCAAAATCTACCATTCGCCTAGAATATAGATAATAAAAAATTTTTAAATGTTGCTTGAGCGTGTGCGAGCATTCAGCCGAGAATACTATCACAGGCTAAAGGCCACGATGAAAGACTCGTATCACGAAAATAAAATAAGGAACAGGTGCGGACAAGCTTTCAGAAACACGGGATCCACATACGTCGGTCGAAGCGGCCGCCTCGTCGATCAAATCGCCGTCGCCAGCAAAGTAGGCAAGAAGGCACTGCAGGGCACGGCACGAATCGGCGCAGGTCCGCACGTGGACAATGTTGTTCGATGCTCTCAGGTCGATGACTGGCTGGCCCTGCAACGACACCATTTGGCCGGATCAGAACTCGAACTCTGTCCCAGTTACAAAGTGCAACTTCACTCGCCAAACTTCGGCGAACAAAAAACAAATATGTGCCGAGAACAGCAGCAATGCTCGCCGACTTCTTCGTCACCTCCAGGTCGGACGGTTCAAAACAATTTTGGTGTAGCAAAACAAACTGAATTGCAAACATTATGTGTACCTATATCGCAGGGTTTTTAACTCTACGGGAATACAAAATTTTACGAAGAAAGCTAGAACCAGAAAGAATTCCCCCAAGAACCGAGTGTAAACCAAACTGTTTACCACCGCCAACTCGCGCGCGTGGCAACAAGCTCTCTCTGGTTATGAATTTCAACCTGGGCTTTTTTCAAAAGGGCGATGCAAAATCAAGGTCTAGGTAACACCGAAGACAATATCGCTCTTACATGGGAGAAACTTTGACACAACAAAATTCGCGGAAGAACAAAAGCCTTCAATTTCTCTGCATGACACTGTCACTATGAGAATGTACTGCTCTATCCATCGGAGTTACTTTCAAGTCTTCGCGAGCAGGTTTCAACGAGGAAGAGTAAATGCTCACCCGGTCAGGCGCGTCCGTCATCCGAAGCGTGAGGTCAAACAAACCAGTGTCTACCACGCACACATAGTCTGCAAAGAGGCAACGAGCTCGTCACAAAAGGACATACTCTCTTCACCCGCTCGCGCCGCTTGTCACGTGACTGCGACATGCCACCTACCCTGAGCCAGGTTGGGCTCCTCTCTCGTCTGCTTGTCGGAAATGTACAGGCACACCTCCTCTGCAATGATCCTGGAAAGAGCGGCGGGAAACCTCCCTCGAGCTAAAGTGGTCCCAACACGAACGAATTGGACGTTTAGATGGCACGAGGCTGGTCTATTATGGCACACCGATGCTGGTTCACGACATAGATTAAAAATGCAGACGGCGCAGTAAAACTGCTTCGAATTCCCCCTGAGGTTTTCTAGAATCTAAAAACAACATGTCAGCACAGAATGTTGATTCGAGCAAAAATTAATAGAAGAAGTATTGACACCATCTAGAATCTGACAAAAGGCACAAGGCGGGGAGGCGTAGAATTAAGCTCCTTATCACGCAGACAGTATTTCCTTCAATATCTTAAACCTATAAATTGCTCACATAACGTGTGTGCTATTCACTGTACTGCTCACTAATCCTCAACATGCCAAAGGGGAGATTAATGCAATCTGTTGCTCAAATGTTTAACGCAAGGTGGCGTCAGTCTTGGTTGAGGCACTGCACCCCACACTCTACGCAAAGGCAACCGCACTCACCTAAGCAAAGATGTCGATGTCTTCCCTGCAAGGTTGCTTGAAATGCTGAAGTTCTCCATCGTCACCACAGACTGGTAGGGTATGTACAGTGGCCTGCAAGCAAGTGCTTTCGGTCACAACACAAAGACTGGAACTCATTCAGGCATCCAACATGCCACCACCATGGAGGCATTGTTAGTTCTAAAGGTATGCAAGAGTCAAAAATGAGGACATGCTATTTTTCCTTGAAGAAACAGATATATGTACAGTGTAGACCGCATATAACGTATGTCGCGGGAGTCGCGAAAATCCGCACTATAAGCGGTACCGCGCTATAACCAAAACATCAATTTTTCAGGCCAAAATACATGCCATGAGACAACTTACCTTTGTAAAACAATTTCTTTTATGTTAGATGAAAAATAAAGCTTAGTCTGAGGAAAGTCTTTATTTCACCAGACTAGTACACTTCTCTCTCAAGTGTGTCACACATTTTTAAAGAAATGAGTGACTTTTGCCTGGCGCAGCCTTTTAAAGGGGGACACTACCCAAAAACAAAAATTTTCTGCAAAAAAAGTTGATTTTGAAAAATGTAGTATTTACATCCACCAGCACCTGGAGAGTATTTCCAGAAAGTTTCATTAGTTTACACCGCATAGTTAATTTTTTATAAATAATTTTTGGTCCATTGAATGCTGAGGGGTTGGAAGACCCCTCAGCATTCTCGTGCATTGAGGGGTTGGAACACTTTGAACACATTTTTCTCCATTCCACATTTTGGCATAAATTTCATTTTAGGAAAACTATTGTTTGTTAATGGGACAAGAGGAAAGACTCGCTTATTGTTTTTCCTAAGTGGAATTTTATAAGCAGTGCAACTACGGAATTGTTTTTTGACTTTGTGGATGTCTTTTATAAAAGATGTTATGATTTTGTGCTTGACATAAAAGGCAAAAAAAATTTGATTTTTCACTGCGATGTTAGCATAAAGTAAATTCTTTTGGAAATTTTCTTTTCACAGTTGCACTCTCCAGGCATTCTGCTGCAGATCTAGAGTAAAAAAATGTTTGGTATTACATTAGTTTCCTAACGATAGTTTTCCTAAACAAAGTCGGTGTGTTCCTGATAAAAATGACTACGAGTTATTTTACAGCTCATATACACTGATGAAACTTTGCACTGCATTCTGCCTTGCAACTTCCAGTATATTCTCTAAATTTCATTCATATTAAGCCATAGGTTTTAAAGTTAACTCTCTTGGGTAGTCTTCCCCCTTAAAGGCGTCGCGGGTTGCGGACGGACGTTGCGAGCGTTCAGGATTGCTCACCCTAATCACCCTAATCACCATTGTATCTTTGCATTTGTTTTTATTTTTCTACAACCAACCAACCAACCAACCAACCAACCTCCTCCCCCCCCCAATGAAATATGTTTGAACCAACATCTTTGAGGTGAATAGAACTTGAACAGGTCTAGTTTATCTAGTTTGTAGGAAACGCCACCACAAACTGGTCGCAATTCACCCACCTGTAGTCGATGGCGCAGTTGCAGAGGTTGAGGTGCAGCTCCGTGACCACCCCCAGGGGCACGTATCCCAGGACGGGGTAGTCCACCACGTCAAAGAAGTCCGTGAACTGGCGCACCCAGCTCTGGCGGAACGGCGAGACCCGGTGCCGCAGCGTCGTCCCTTGGAGCCCCACGGCCACCTTGATTGTCTGCCAGAGTCCGGAAGTGGGTCAGATGAAGCGTCCGCCTTCACCACAAACTTAATCGGTTTCGTAGCTAGACAAGTGTATTTCTGACGAGCAGTGCACTTTGTAAGGCTGTAAGGAAAATCCAGAAATTAGAGTGCTCTCGGGAAAGTTTACACTGCTGTAAACTCCCGTAAGGGTGCCCACCCAAAAATTAATTATAAAAACATTAATTATAAACACACAGGCACTCGCTACAAACCACGTAACGCGGGAACTGATGCGGCAAATCGCGGACACGGCGAATTTGCATTTAATGACGCGATAAACGCGCAGAGATTTGCTACGAACTCTCGTGTCACGGCAAAGGACACCGGTGCGACAAACATGCGGGAACTGGCTAAAAACAAGCGTGCCATGGGAACCGATGTTGCGCGCATGAATCGCAACATCGGACAGAAAACGTGGGATGTCGCCACGAACTCGCATGTCACGGGAACCAATATTGTGCATGCAGATCACAGACAGAAGCGTGGGATCTCGCCACGAACTCGCATGTCACGGGAACCAATATTGTGCATGCAGATCGCGGACAAAAACGTGGGAACCCGCTGCGCGCCTGCTTGTCACAAGTACCAGACCCGCAGATTGCGCGTTTGATGCGATTCTCGTCGGATATTGCACGACGTCCGATGTAAATCGGAAGGTGGGCGACGTCTCGGAATTTTCATGTTACGGATATTTAGCCAGAAAAACGGGATGAGCAATCTCTCGGAGGAGGCTGCCTTCACGGGATTTTACGGTGGTATGTTTTGTCAGAAAGTTGCTTTTAAAAATCACTTCCGAGAGACAGAATGCTCGCATTATTGCCGTCTTATTCAGTCATTCGGCAATTCTGTAACATTGCTCAAACCCAATTAAACAGTTGGGAAATCAGAGTAGAAGATGCTACAGTAGCAGACGACGCATGCCGGCACACGCTACTACCACACATCCCAACGCGCGCAAACTCTAGCTTCAAATGGAGGAAATAGAGTTTCGTGGACTAGCCTAAGTGCATAGCAAAACGAAGACACCACACGCTCGCCCAAAGGCTACAGGCCACGCACCTTGAGGCCCTCCTTCGCATCCGCGCACGTCTTGATGACGACCGACACCGCGTCGAGAGCGTCGGCGTCGCCGGAGAGCGTCGGGGACGTCTTTGGCGCCACGCCGTCTGCGGAGGCATACAACACCGCCAGGAGGTGCGCGGCCGGCTCCAGAGACTGGGGCTGCAGCACCGAGTTCTCAAACACCCCGCAGATTTGGCCTGGGGAAAGTCGGAGAAGGAGCCAAAAAACACGCCCGCCAAAAGTTCAGAACATTGAAATAAATGCGGTGCAAAAGGACAAGGACTACTAGAAGAAGAAAACAGAACAAGCACTATCCTGTCTTCTCTTCCTACTATAATTACGGACGGCGTGAGGACCGCTGTATATCTCTTCCGAACGCCCAGCTTCGAGCGCGTGCTTGTTGCCTTTCGCCGCACTTTGGCTGCACTGTCACGCTAAGGGCTCACAAAATGCCAAAGCGTCGTCGAAGGCGGGCGGGACGACCGAAACTCCTTGTGCCGACGGAGGTAACTCCTACACACGCTCAACGCGTCGACGCCGGCAAATCGGGCAGTGTCGCATCTTTCCCCCACCTTTGTGGTGCAGCTTGGCTTTGCCCGCGCTGAGCACCACGTAGTTGAGCTCGGGGTCGTTGCGGTGGCAGGCACTCAGAAACAGCTGACCGTCGCTGACCAGTAGCTGCATCTCTCCGTGGAGCTGAGGGAGCACGTTGCCTTGCGCGTCCTGTTCGCAAAACAACCAAAACGAAGACGACACGGGCATAAACCGAAAATCAATCGATCGGTCCGAACGACATAGGCGAACAGCTCGAGGTCTTTGAAGAGGTGAGGGTGCGGCAAGCAATTGACACCCCCATTTCAAACTGGAAGTAGTACCGCGTAATCTAGCAAAGAGAAGGAAAGATGCGTCTCTTAAGATGCTAATAAACCTACAAAAAGAAAAAGCTTTTTTTGCTTCTTAATGCGTACATGCAGCGGCGTATTCTGGCAGTGCCCACTGACTCAAGATAGTACCGTAACGTAAGCTCGCGATAATTCAAAACCCCGACATTTCGTACTTCTGGATAATTCAAACAAATTTTAAAATTGAGGTTATCCCGCCATGCTTTTAATGTTCATAGGCCACTTAATTCAAGCACCATTTTCATGAAATTCATACTTTTTGTTCTCGCGGCCCCGTTGAGAGCGCTTTTTCCCGAGCAACGGTGCACTGCAGAAAAGCTCCACGCGGGTGTTGCTTCCCTGCAGTGCACCGGTACTGGGTGAGAAGTGCACTCAACGGGGCTCAAGCAGGGCACACGTGAGCTTCGAAAACGGGCATCACGCTGACATTGTTACAGCAACTTCCACGGATGCTGTGACGTGGCAGCATGGCATAGGTTCACGTCACAGCGTCTGCGAAAGTTGTTATAAAAACTGCCGTTTTCATGGCTCATCTGTCTCCGCTTAGTAGTCCACATAGACAACTTCTTGGCATGATGAGCAAACTTAATTTTGCTTTGAGTTGTCATGTGATGTCTAAACAGTTTACAATGAGTAACATTTTTGAGAGGTAAATAAACTTATGTCATACATTTCAAAATGCTTCATGTGTGGCATGCCTGCTACAGTGGACCGATACTGGGTGAGAAGCGCAGTAGGCCAATGTAGAGGAAACCATCAAATATCTGATTTGTATGTCTAGCCATTCATATGGCAAACCATAATTTTTTTCTTTCATCATATTTAGATGAACTCCTGATAATTCAAAGTTCCTATAATTGAAACAGAATTTGTAGCTTCTTAGAGTTTGAATTAATGAAAGTCTACTATATTATCAGCCATGACAAACTTGGACGAGAAACTTCCGGAAGCCTCAGAGCAGCAGCCAGCATTTTGCCGAGACACTTCGTTTCTTCGGGATTGAGCCTCTTCGGTACAGTGCAATACACTTATAACAATAATGAGAAAACCCAAAAATGAAATCGTTATAACTATCGTTGTATCTGGGCTAGAAACTGATCATTTCTAGTCTAGAAACTCTGTAAACTGATAGTTATTAGTGGTATATTGTTATATGTGGTTATCATTATAAGTGGATCGCACTGTAAATCTTGGCTGCCACTATAAGAGGTTTCCAGGTGGTCACTTTTTCAAGTTCTCCCTCTCAACTACAACTAGTTTCGTCATTTCTTTGAACCAGCCATGACAAAGGCTGACAAAAAACATAAATCTAGCAATTTCGAAAAAAATAAAAAAAATTAACTTGTTTGAATGGAACGATATGAAAAATATTGCTGCAGAACAAACGCTGGAAAACAGACAGCCTGGCCACAGATTGACCAGTGCAATTCTCCGTGGGCATTTTGCGACAGCTCACCCGGAGCGGGGTGACGAGGGTGGCGAGGCCTTCGGTGACGGTGACGTTGATCACCAGCTGGCTCTGGACGCCGCGGAAGGCCGGCTTGTCCCTCCGCGGCAGCAGGCGCTGCCTGTTCTCGTACATGGACTGGAACATGGCCGTGTCGTCCTCGTCCTCGGACTCTGCAAGATGCGAGCAATGCAATCCGACAGAGCGTGACGCAACAGACTCGGTTGAAAGATCGGCGAGAACAAAACGAGACGGGAAACCCATTCCCGTGAACGATAGAGCTGCTACAAAAACATGTACAAAAGTCGCGTATATTTAAAATTTCGGTGCAACCCAGAAACAAACATAATGAACCACTTTGAATAGAGAGCAAGAATCCATTTGGAAGGGCTACCACGCTGCAGTTGACCAGAGATCTGTGGCTAAATGGACCTCTTCATTTACGAAATTATGCGAGGAAGAACTTCTCTCAAAGGCCAGGAATGAAAGCCATCTTTTCACTACAAGTTAAGCCAATTTAATGTCGGAGTGAAGAAAATGGGGCTTGTGCAGTGTCCCTTGCCACTAAATCTCCTTCCACGCAAGCTTACCCATAATATTTCAAATATCTGGAGTTGTAGATGAAGATAACATTCAATTTCACCGACCACCTCAATGATTTCGAAAATTCGCACGGCGCACGTGAGATAAGCGCACGTCCAAAATAAGTAGAATACCGTAATTTTTTGCAATTCGGATGATTCGGCAAAGGTAACCAATGCATCACTGGCTTGACTTCGCTCGCTTTTTTGCAACTCAAATAGGAAAGAATATTACAAAAGAACAGGACAAAACACAGTGCACATTTTTCCACGTGCTTGTTTCCTAAATGTATTATTATTTTTTTATATTTTTTTTTATTTTTTTATTTTTTAATGAACCCGATTACGGATGCCTCCATTCGCATGTCCCAAATACCATAACCGAGGCTGCGGGGAAACAGTTGGTGGGCTCGGGGAATCGGCCACTGACCGACAAGCAGGTTGGAGCGACACATGGAGAACCTCTGGAAGCTGTCCTGGTTGACCTGACCCGGCACGTCCAGGTGGGCAAAAGGGGCTCGGATGCTGGCGCCACCCGAGCTCTCTGCCTGCCAACTGGGCTGGAGCACCAGCGGTTCCCACAGCACCAGATCCATTGTCAGGCTAACAGTTCAAACCAAGAAGAAGAAAAAAAACAAGCACAAGCTTTTGAGTGACACAGTTGTCAGGGGGACGAGAAAACGACGTGGAGAATGTCTTTGTAGAAAAACACACGCAGAGCGATGGCCTTTGCAACGCTCTCCACATCTTCCTTTAAGGTACGCAAATTATTTAGATTTAATGCGAGAGAGTGCTTGACGAACTTGGAGATTTCGCGAGTCATACTATTTGATTCGCATTCGATTTGGATCCCCAAAATCGCTCTTGTTCGCACATACCTAAAAGCTTCTTAATATTTGAGTACTTGACTCAATTCAATATCTTTCATGATGTACGACTACTATTTGATTTATAGTCGATTCAGATCACCGAAACTGCTACTTCTATGTGTCCGCACGTCTCCACGCTGGACACTATTATGTATAGATCTGGCTGATCAGAGAAAACAAATTGCAACTGTTATCGAAGGAACAATAAAGTCCACACACAGTAAGCCAACTCAATCGATACGCCACTGATTGATTGATCGACTGAATGATGAGGCATACCGGTTGTAGATCACCTCGTAGAAGTGCTTGTCCGGGAAGCAGAGATTCACCGACGGCAATGAGAAGTCGAGCAGCACCCTGCAGTTATTACTTGTCTTGTCCATGAAAGAACGCAACGAAGCCTTGTCTCCGGGGAGGATCACCTGCATTCGTACACACACACGTTCGTGCACCTACTAATGCCTAGAGGCGCAATCATCTAGCGATCATCGGTGCCTCACTAACGATCAATTCAAAGTCGCAAAATACGCCTACTTTTTTTTGTGGACAGTGACAATAGTTTGAAAGTCGCCGCATCCTCTTTGGAAAGGTTCATGTGAGATAAACTAATGCAATCGACCGTCGATAATTCAAGATTGCTTTACTTATTTATTGTAAATATTTCCAAAGGCATTACATGAGGGCAAGGGGGGCACGCATTACACAAAAACTACTGACATATAAAATTTAATACTACATACCATAACCTCCCGAGAGATGCCCGACCCCCAAAGATAACCCGCCCTCTAGTTTTAGCTTGGTTTGCTATTTTATTTTAAACACTGAAAGATAGCCCACCCCTAGTAAACGTAATGTTCAAATCGATGATGACCTCGGCGTAAATGCGGCTAGGTAGCTATGGCGGGATAAAAGTGAACATTACTGACTGGAAATTGTGCAATCATCTCTGCTTCACTGTTCCTCACCGCGATAACGAGTTTGGCAGGAAAATGTGATCTAAAAATAGCATTTCTTTAAACTTTTCTTGGTTATACACCGAAAGGTAGCCCGCTCCCTATTTTCACCCATTTGCTCTCGATTTTAGGTGGGCTATCTCTAGGGACATTACGGTAATAATTCAATTGAAACATTTGAAGCAAGTAAATACACACAAGTACATAAACCTTAAAATATACTGAACACAAATATTCCACGACTGATCCAAGAACATGTCGCTCACTGAAAAACGGACGCTTGTGCTTTTGAGCGAGCAAAATATTTCAATTTCGGTCAGTTCAAAGGATGGGTGTTGTCACAGCAATTTTACGCACAACATTAAAACGATTGAGCATTAATTTGAAAGCTACCCCTCTAGATTAGGTTAGTTCAAAAGTTAACCTTTGACGACCTAATTTTTTTTTTCCCCACAAGATGTTTCCGGGTGTTCGGGTTTTGTTTCCAACCAATCAGTATAAAGAGAGGGCCAATGCGCAGGTTTTCTTTCTTAATCACCTACCGGGAAAACGCACAGTGCCTGCCAGCTGAAGCCTCAAATGGAAATATAATAGGCAAAAAGTTGTTGCCTCTTTAACATTTGGTCTGATTTTCGCGTGTCTGCTTCATCGACATTCCGGAGGCTTCAGATTCCAAAACTGAGGTACCATACAGAGCTTCACCACCGGATCATAAGCTCTCATTCTCCGAATAAATTTCTGAAACGAGTTAAAAGGTAGAGCTCCGGTGATAGTGGCTCCGATTGCCACTATTGCAGCGCGCGCAGCTGGCCAAGTAGGCAGCGTGCGTGTGGCCTAACGGTTATCATGCCTGCCTTCCACGCGAAAAGCCAGGGTTCGATTCCTGGGATCGACGTGTCTTTTGTTTATCCCTGCAATTTAGTGTTCTGGTAAATTTTCGAGAATCCTGATGCTTGTTCGAGGTCCGAAAGTTCTACGCGTCGAACTTTCTGGCGCCGATTATTCCAGAAGCCCACGCGTGTACATAAGGGGCTTCGCATAGCCAGCCAGAGTCAGTTCTCGCTCCAGCGTTCGACTCTGCTGTCTCGCCGACTTCGACGCTTGCGACGCTTTGTTATTATCTTCTATTCCCTTTGGTTCTGGGCATAAGTTTGCCCCATTAAACGTTTAGTTTCTTCAGTTATTATCGCCTCATCAATTGTCATTCGTGACACTATCACCGGAGCAGCCAACATGTGAAGCGACCTCTCTCGCGCGCATCACGTTTTCGGAGCATCTAATTTCAAAACTATAAATATCCCCGGCAATGTGAAACGGCCCATGAATACAACGTCTATAGTTTGCCAAAGATGTCACCAATAGCAACGCCCTTTACAGTTTGTGCGCTGTTACGTGTAGGTGGACACTTTCAATCGCGTAATTGCCGCCGCACACGTACGGCGATGGCCGTCGAAGGGTCAAAAGCCAAAAGCAGACGACCCCAAAAGCAAGCCACGACGAGAAGCGCAAACTTGCCTCGTCGTTCTCGGCGACGCTGTCCTTTGCGGAGGGGGGGCTGCCCGAGCTGTGGTTGCCGTGGTAGAAGACCTGGCGGGTGGCGAAGGGGGAGTCGAGATCCTTGTCCACTTGCACCAGCATGGTGTCCAGGAGCATGGAGGGCAGCATCGACTCCTCCTTCTCCTCCGTCTCCAGGGGCGACAGCTTCTTCTCCGGGCTGATCACCATCTCCACCCTGGGGTGGCGGTGGCGGCAAAGGCTGGTTCGCAGTTTGAACTTGGGTGTCGCCAAATGCACCGTACACACTCGCGATCGCTTACGACTCGGAGTAACCGTACAAGCCACGCTCGCGGAGCAGAGTATCGCGACAGTCCGAGGTTTTCTTACTTCGAGTGGCGCGGGAGAAGCAAATATCGCACTTGCAGGAGACGCGACGGGTGCAACGACGCGGGGTGCAGTTCGTTGCGCGTGCACTGTCGTATATCTCCCAAATCCCCCGGAAGCGCGCGCGCGCGCAGGCTTGTCGTGGTTGTTGCATTGTCCGCTTGCTCACGGCCTCATTTAAAACTGCGCTTGCATTATTGAAGTAACGCAAATATGTGTGTCTAAGTGGCACGCACGACGCCCAAAGGTTCGAGAAGCTGCCCGCTCGTCTGACTTTGGTGAGAGATCTACATTTCGTGAACGCAGAGTGAAAAACATGTCCCAGTCCAGATCCCACGCTCCTTGAGGTGGCTTCCCTGTCGGCAAAAATGTAAAATATGGCATGTGTGACCCCTTCCCCGCCAATGAGGAGTTGGCAGCAAAAAGAAAAGGAAGGCAACACACTCCATTATTCAGTCACTCTACACACACTGGCGCCATCTTATCGTGCCGCCCTATAGCAAAGACATCCATTATTCCGCTCATCTACGGCGAGGGACATGTAGCCACATTTTCGAGGCTACCTCACATTCTCTACACATCCACATACACCCAACTTGTTTTTAGTCTGGCCCAAGAAAAAATGCCAACAGTTAGAAACGCTCCTTGCAACCAAACCTTTACTTACTTCAACGGGCAAACAGTTGACGGAGACACTAACGTGAACTAAACGGAGACTCGCTACGTAAAACAAAACATCCATTCTTCAGCAAATTCAGGGGTATTGCGTTTGAACCTGCCCCCAAGCTCTGAGGGAACCAAGAAGGCAGAGAATGAACGTAGACTTGCCTGGGCCAGTCGAATCCGTCCTCTTTGACCTTGGGGTCGAGGAACACCCTGAGGAAAGACACTGGCGTGGACAGCGGGGACTCCTGGTACAAGACTGGAAATGTACGGGCAAGACCGATTGAGTAAAAAGATGTCTCGTCACGTCATGACAAAATCAACTTTTTGACTGTGAAGTGCTTTTCGGAGGTCCTCTTTGCGAGACGTTTTTTAGCTAAAATATTGAACCAAATGTCACGGATGGCTACACGATGTGCATCAGCTAGCAACATCTTCCTTAAGCCATAACATACAATATCGGCTCGGCACGGCGCCGGGAGTGTGTGACGCTGCATCTGCATTGCTGTGCTTTTCTTTTCGTTTTATTATTTCCGAGGCGTGTCCGCTTTGACCTTGAGCACCCCGTCTGCTTCCAGGACGAAGCGTCTCTATTGGTGTGCCTTTCATTGTGTTTTATTTCTGACCACGCGTGCTTGATGACTTGCACTTACGTGCCGTTTCACTCGGCCAATGGGAACGGCACATGGCGCGTCGCAGTGATTTTAGCTGCTGTTTCGCTGAGGGAGGGAATTTAGGAGCCATTTTTTTACGGTTACAAACTTCTGGCTGCGCTTTGTGAAAAAGTTAACGCTTTTGCATTAAAAGCACGCACGTGTGTAGGAAAACTTTTTTTCGCGTTCTGATATTTTTTTGTGTGTCTATGTATCAAGCAACTTGCATGGTTTTAGAAAACAGAAAAGATATAAACTTTGGGGTGAAAGTGCCCCTTTAAGCTTTGATCGAATAACAAAGAACTAGTCTTAAATATATCATGATTCACCACGAAAAGGGGGAAATTTGTGATGCTTGGCGACAATTTTACTTTTTTTGTTGCAGCTCTCGGGGTGAAAACAAGTGAAAGTGTCATACCGAAAAACCTAAAGGCCCGTTCACACTCTTGCGACCTCTTAAAACTGGGTTCCTTGAAACCCCTTACGAGAGGACACACTGGAGCCATCTATTGGGCAGCAGTGTAAACTTGGCGGTCCCGACATATTTTCTATTTCTCTTGAGCATTATCCTTTATTGCTTGGCTCAGAAAACTTTTCTCAATGTTATAAACGAGCCTTTCTTATAGGTACTACGCACATTTGACATCGGAAACCCCGCAAAACTTTTGCTCTTGTGAAATGCAGTTCCAGGGTCACCGCATAGACGGCACCAGTGTGTTCTCTCGTCCTAAGTAAATTTTAAGAGGTTTCAACAAGTCTCGTCTCTCTCAGTCGTACTTGGCTGCAAAAGTGTGAATGGGTCTTAGTGGCACGCAGCGAGGAAAATCATAAAACCGTCCAGCCATACGGGAAAGCGCCAAGTCCCTGGTCTCACCGTGAGCGTCCTTACAGACGAGCACCAGTTTGAGATCGGGTTCGGCATCCTCAAACGAGGTCGACAGCGTCGGCTCTGTCAGTTCCAGGGTGAGAATGTCGGGGCGGATGTTCCTCTGCCACCAGGGGGCGCGACCCATGTCGTACTGGGGACGCAGGTCTGGCACCGGAAACCTGCGATCAATTTGTAAGTAACCAACGAGAACTATTCATCGTACAAATTAAAATTGAATGTCAGCATGTATTGAAGCGACCCAACAAGCTCTCTGGTTGAAATAAAAGGACTGGACGGAGAAACGCGTGGGGCAGCGACCTCGTTTTAAAGTTCCCGCTCTCCGGAAACCACTAGACGTAAAAGTTCAAGGATCACATTCTTGCGTTTAAATTTTATAGGTGGAAAAGGTCACATGAATCACGCGACGTCGCTAGGGTCACGCGACGTCGCTAGGGTCACGCGACGTCGCTAGGGTCACGTGATGTCGCTAGGCTCACGTGACGTCGCTAGGCTCACGTGACGTCGCTAGGGTCACGTGACGTCACGGGGGTCACATGACGTCACGGGGGGTCACGTGACGTCGCGAGGGTAACGTGACGTCCCAAGGGTCACGTGACATCACGAGACATCACGAGGTTTCCGCGCAGTGCATTATGGGACGCTTCCCATAATGCACTGCGTGGTTACGTCGACGGGGACGCCGCTCAAGCCGGAAACAGGCGCCTAAGAGCTGCGCTCTAAAAAAAAAAAAAGAAAAAAAAAAAGTCCATCTATATTTGAATTTTTTTTTTGTATTTTCAACGAGTTTAATATAAAGGCATCAACCTATATTCGTGGTTGACTTATATTTGAGTAAATATGGTACTCTGCAAAATCTAACACAACAGTAGACTCTCATTAATTCAAACTCCAGGAAGACACAGATTTTAGTTTGAATTACCAAAAGTTTAAATTATCAGAAATTCATCTAAATATGATACTAGACAACATTATGATTTGTTACATGGATAGCTACACATACAAAGCAGATTTTTGCCAGTTTTTTCTACATAGGCCTAATTATAAGCAAGTACAGGCATAACACATTGGTGAAAAAACTGCGACTTTAAATTTATTCATCCGGCAAAAACGTTGTCGATTGTGGACTCTTTAGTCAGTACATGAGATCTCCAAAACAAAATTTTCAATACCAGCCAACGCAAGTAGCTCTTTACGGGACACTTCCTTTGCAGACAGAAACTTCCGGAGCTGAGCGATGTGCTCAAAGGCCTCTGCAGCTGTGACAGTTGGAAGTGGGTCATCCCTTTTCTTCATCATAATCTTCACTTTCATCGCTGCACTGTGCTGGCATTACTTCCTTATGTCCTTTAATGAGTCATCACGACAAACACACACGTCGTCGTCAAGACTAGCATATTCCGCCAGCTCGGCGTTCACATTATGTGCTTTAAGGCCAGAAAGCATGATGCCAGTGAGCTGTTCCTCGTCCTCGATGTCGTCTTGGTCATCATTGCTAGGCTTGAAGCAGATAATGTGGACGCCGTTTTCTGCTAATGTGTGCCTGCTTGAGCCCCGTTGAGTGCGCTTCTTTCTGAGCACCGGTGCACTGCGAAGAAGCAACACTCGCAAAAACAAGCTCCGCGGGTATTCCTTCTCTGCAGTGCACCGGTGCTGGGAAAGAAGCGCACTCAACGGGGCCGCGAGAACAAAAAAGTATGAATTAAGCGAAAACGCCATTCGAATTAAGCGGCTTATAAATACATTAAAAACATAGTGGGACAACCAAAATTTTCACATCTGTTTGAATTAACCGGAAGTATAAAATATCCGAGTTTGAATTATTGCGAGCCTACTGTATAGCACACTAGAGATATTTTAAAACGAATTGATTATATTAAGAGTTCCTCGTGAAAGGATTTGTACTTGCACATTCTAAGTACTTCTAGAAATCACATGCTTTCTTTAAGTGTTTTTTTATTTATATATTTATTTATTTCAAATACCCTCAAGGTACACACACTGGAGAAGGAAGAGAGCTGTAAAATACTAAGTATAAAGTGCACATAGTAGTAATAGCATGTTTAAACAAAACAATATCAGTGATGTTAGCAATCGAGGCAGCAACGTGGTTCCAGCCTAAGATGTTTGTGGCATAAACGAATATTGAAATAATGAAGTTCTAAAATTTGGAATAGAACTTTATGGCTATGATCAATGCGTGCAGATATCTGGAATGGTGGAGAAATTAGTTTATGACGAAGGGTAACATTTTGACGAAATATTTGATGAAAAAGACACAAACATGAACATTTGAGAGAAATCTGTTTAGTGCAGGCAGGACTAATTAATAAAAACATGAATAAATGGGGTGAATATAAAGTAACTCGCTATAAATAGAGCCGTTATAATGTGTTCAGAACGCACATTTTTCTGAGTGCCAGGCCTTCCTGCCAAGCAGTTCAGCACAACCACAGCAAGAAGCAAAATTCAAGCGGGAAATACACAGCTGCCAGAAAGCCAAATTAAAAAAAACAGGGCAACATTACCTGAGATGAACCTTCACCAAGGGGCTGTGCACCCGCACGTTGGTCCTGCAGGCCGAGAGGCTCGTGTGTGCTTGGCTTTGCTACAAGTCGAGGAAACGGCGACAATCAATGACCCTTCCCATAATTCGTTTTGCTCCATGCACGTGCAAACAACACACAATGGCTGCAACGAGCCACCCCTGAAATAGGTTTACTAGCATGACCAAGAATGCAGCTACCACCGCCCTCGAGGAATGCTTATTTCCCTTTGAACGATAGCCATGGGACCCCGCCCGGTCTTGACACCGATCGAATAAACCGGTGCAGGAGTTCATAGACAGTATACACCGCAATACGCATACTGGGCAGTGTTTGGCACGTAGCAATGCATCTACAGATGGCTCGGATCTCCTAAAATACTGCTTTAACGGTGTAGTAGGGGCAGCCAAGACGATCTGCAAGCTTCGGAAGCACCTGAGGGTGCTCCGTCTTCCCGAAAACCCGGTTGTTCTTTAGAGTACCCTTCATGGGTACAGTGCAGAACTCCCCGCACTGCCGAATTTCCTCAACCGTCCCTGCCCCTGAGTAATAAAGTGGCCTTCCAGTTTGAGCGCCACTTTAGCAGATCTGAGGCACTCGCTAACGTACAGCCGTGCGCCAAACACTCCCCCCCGTCAGTACATTATTGTTTACGGGGCCCGCAGGCTCCTGGACTGCATTACTGCATCGATGCCGAGGCCAGGAGGAATTCCTAGAAACAGAAAATTCTGGGAACTGCCGACCTAACGAAACGCAACAAACGAAAGACGGGGCTCGTACGCGAGGCTGCCGAGCACGGGCTTTTTCGCTCGGGACAAAAACTTTCCAAATGCACCTGTCAACGTCCCCCGAGAGGCGCGATATCGAATTTTGAACCTAGACGCAGAATGTCGGCTCGTGGCGGGAGTGGCAAAGCAAATTTGCACCTATCGGCGATGGCGGTGCCGCGGTGTGAGAATTGCTCTACCTATCTCCCGGAAGATGGGCTTCCAGATAAAGGTGCTCGCTCACACCTTCCCGACGGGGAGGTGTGCGGTTAGGCTCTTATGTCGCTCGTATTTCGCAAGATCAGAACTACCCGCACGTCCCAGACCCGACCCGGTACCGCTGTTCTACGACAATCCTCCAGACAACGGTTATCTTGACGGGAACTAGCGCACCCCCTACGGGTTGCGAAAGTCACGAATGCCGCGTTCTGGGGGAGACAGAGCGGCGGACACCCACGTGCAGCGAGGTGCTCCAGATGTCGGCGTTCCTGCGACTGGGCGTGGAAAACTGCGCCGGCGGGTGGAGCAGGGCGTAGATGCGGTCCATCAGGGATCGGTCCACCTCCATCCGGGTGGGGCCCAGCTCCACCACGATGGAAGTGAAGGGCTCGCGGACCCCTCGCGCCTGCGGAAGGGGGGACGAGGAAAAACGTGAACGAGGCTCCGTCTAAAGAAGTTTCTGGCGTAAGCTTCGACGTTCGGCTTCTTACGAAGTGATGCGCGTTTCTCAATGTGCGTGCGGGTCCAAGACCGCAGTGCGGACCAAGGAAGATAAACCAACGTGCCATATTTTCAAGTCTATAAGTCGCAACGCCGTGCAAATTGCACGGCCGATTTTACGAGAATGTTTATACGTAAGTCGCACCTTTGTATAGCTTTCACCGAGTACTTACGAACCACTGCGAAAAGATGCCGTGCGGAATTGCTGCACACCTGTGCCGTCGCACTTCAAACTGCCTACGGACAGTTGAAAGAGCAGGCTGTCGGCGGGTGCTCCACCATTCCTTCTTTGACGTAAATGTCGGCATGGCCTACAACTAGCACAGTTCAAGTGCACACTTACAAAAAAATTTAAAAAGCACGAGTCGCCCTGTTGCGTAAATTGCACCGAGAGAAACTTAAGAAAATGAACGCCACTTATATGTCAGAAGATAACATTCTTTTTTTACGAGGAGCATAAGCCTGCCATTACGGAAGGGTGCAATGCGGCATCCAGCAAAAGTGTCACATTTGCTCGCGTACCAAATGTAATTCTGAAATGGGGAGATGGACTGATGTTCCCTCACCACAAACCTACTGGAGTGCACCGCGGCAAAACTGTCAGGAGGATGGATAATATGGTAACAGCCGAATACTTACAGATGCCCACCAGCTTCTCTGCATGAGAAAAGGCATGTCAACTTTTGAACAGGTAGGTAAAAAATTATGCACCTAAAGTTTAAACCGAATTTCTGTTGCTAGCACTTTTCATTATTTTAGAGCGACATATATAAGTGCGTGACGGTCTCCTCACGATTTCGGTAATGTATGTTGGAACTAAATACCGGCATAGTAACACTTCAAAGTATTACCACTAAGATCAAAAGAACTCCGCAGATTGTCACCCAATTATTCTCTCCCCCGGCAACACGATTAAAATGTCACATTCTATTCCGCACCAGCCACAAACCTCGGGGAATGACTCCACGTTAAACGCAGGACACATTCCAAATGCAGACCCAATGGGGCCATCAGCGACGTATACCGTATTTACTCGCATAATCCTCGCACTTTTTTTTGCGGAAAATCGATGGAAAGCTGGGGGTGCGAGAATTACGCGGGGAAAATTTTTTCCCGAAAACGTAGAGCTCTAAAAAAATAAAAATAAAAAATCGAAGCGCCAGCAAATTGGGGTTTTCGCGCCGGCAGCTACCTAAAAGTTTTTAGAAGTAGCAATACAGGGCTTACCTTAGCAATAAAACCACAGGTTTAAGACAAAGTAAGATTTAATTTGGAAACACTCGAGCCTCAGTCCGAATCAGTGGTAGCATCGCTGGTCGTTGTCTCGTCGTCACCTCCCGATTTCTCGTCGGCTTCGGACGCCTCGTCTTCTTCCCACACCAAGTGGTCTTCAGTTGCATCCAAGGCATTTGATATGCCAGTCTTTTTGAAGCTCTTCACGACGATGTCTGCTCCGATCATCCCCCACGCTTCCGCTATCCAGCTGCACAGCTGCTCCACCGATGGTCTCTTTATCTTGCCGGCCGGCGTCAGATCGTGTTGGCCTTCGGCCATCCACTCTGCATACAACCTTCGAACATTATCTTTGAATGGTTTGTTCAAAGACACGTCCAAAGGCTGCAGCACGGATGTTAGGCCACCTGGAATGACAGCCAGGTCTGTGCGCAGTTCCTTCAACTTTGTGCGAACCGGTTCCACAAGATGGCCCCGAAAGCTATCGAGAACGAGGAGCGACGGAAAAAGAAGTGCTCCCGGTCGCCGCCCCCACACAGTCTTAAGCCAGTCGACCATGAGGTCAGCACTCATCCAGCCTTTTTCTTGCACCCGTACGTGCACACCAGGGGGAAACTTTCCTTTGGGGAGATTGAAGATGATGTACGGTGGCAGCTTCCGACCGTCCGCCGTCACAGCTAGCATTACCGTGCATCGCTGCTTCTCCGCGCCAGACGTGCGTACGTGGACGGTGCGTGCGCCTTTCTGCTCCAAAGTAGTACTGCTGGGCATGTCGAAATTGATAGGCGTTTGGTCCGCGTTCCCAATCTGCGACAGCAAAAAATTGTTCTGCTGCCGAATCCCAATGACGAACCGGTGGAAGTCCACGATCTTATCCTCGTAGGCTTCGGGCAGGCGTTGGCAAAGCGTTGTACGCCTCCTCAAAGAGAGACCATTGCGCCGCATGAAACGCGTGGCCCACCCGTTACTGGCGCGGAAGTCTTGTGCCGGGACGCCTTCCTTTCTGGCAATTGCGCGCGCCTTGTTGCACAAAAGCTCAATGGACACGGCGCACCCATCGGAGCGTAGAGCCTTGACGTAGTCCATGAGCAGCGTCTCAATTCGGGGAAACTTGCCAGTCTTTGGACCACGGAAAGCCCGGCGTGTCCTGTTGGTCGCCTGCAGCTCCCCGTGCTGCCGCCTCCAGTAGCGCACGTTGAACTCGTTGACGCCGAAGTGTCTGCTTGCGGCGCGGTTGCCGTGCTCAATAGCGTAGTTTATCGCTTTCAGCTTGAAAGCAGCCGTGTAGTTGGCGTATCGCCCCATGGCGAAGTGGCAACCAGCACCGAACAAAGAGGTTGGCTCAAAGCGTTCGACCTGGTTCGACGTTCGACCAGTTCGACAACTGATTGCGACGCGACGACCGGGGGCTGCGCTAACGCCGTCTACCGTTGCGGTCGCGAGACCGGCTCAATGACAGTATGACTAGAGTCTGACAGATGGCGCTAGGACTGCTAGCACTCTGGCCATACGGAGCGGCGCGGTGCCGGAAAATGCGGGCGGTGGAGAGTGCGTGCACCATATGCGGGTTTCACGAGCAGGCGACTTTCGCCGCTGCAGTTTTGGGGGTGCGAGGATTACGCGAGGAAAAGAAAAATTCTATTTTTGGTGGCCCACATTAGGGGTGCGAGGATTACGCGAGTGCGAGGATTACGCGAGTAAATACGGTAGATGCACAATATTAAACTAAGCAGAACATGGAAATGGTCGTTAAAGCACAAAAAATCTTCAATGCTATAGGGCTGGGGCACGTTCACGTAAACCTAGGACGTAGCATAAGTGGGACACCGAGACAGCACAGGCAGGCGCGTAAAAAGTTCAAAACATGCCAAAAGCGAGCCTAGCATTTGCTCTGGTAAAGTCTGACTACAATGCTAGTTGGGTCATTGACCTTGGTTACGAACACTGAAGTAAGCTATAATGGAGCCACCACATCTTGAGGACACCGTGTTTCCCCGGACTACGGACACTCTGAGCCTCTTTTCAGGCAAAGCTCGCAGGTCTGGAACCAAGCTGCGGAACCAAGTGAAGAGTGAAGCGAACCTGGCTTGTCTTCTCAAGGTGCTCGCACTTGAGCCGGAGAAACGGCTCCATGGGGTCGCCACCCGTGCTCTCCTCCCTCTTCGTGAGGGACGACAGGATCTGGGGGAAGGACAATCGGTGCCACATTAAACCGGATGTCTTCACCAACAACTCTTCCGTGCACGCAACTCTTTATTTGCAAATTCCCTAAAGCAGCGGTCCTCAAATGGGAGTCCACGGTAGAGCTCTGCACAGGGCCGGGCCAACCCCAAAGCCTGGGCTCGGCCTTACGTAAACTAATCAAATGCACAAACATGTTTCGGGGGCAGCTTTGAATTGAAGAGAGGAGGCACACTTTGGCCTCTCATTGGGACAGGCCCGGGCCGTACCTAATCAGGGGCCCTAAACTCGTGAAACACAAAGTTTGAGCCGGAAGTTTGCGGAGCGCACCGATTGGACGTCGGCGAAAAAAGCGCAAAGTCATCATCGTGATAGGCCAATCGGTGCGCTCCGTTAACTTTGGCCCCAACTTTGAGTTTCACGAGTTTAGCGACCCTGGTAGGCATCCCATTGGGCCGGGTCCGAGTCGGGTAAGACTAAGAGTCAGCGGGCCAGGGCCAGACCGGTCCTCAAAAAGTGGGCACGTGCAGTGCTCTAGTCCACGGTCCCTTTGGGTCCCCCTGAAGGCCTTGTTAGGGTTCCCGAAGTTTTATACAAGTGGTTCTCAAATCGGTTCTCAAGTCGTTCATACCTATCCATCCATTCATCCTTTTACTTCTCACTTGTCTAAACAGTAAAGGATTCTCTTTTCACATTGCAATTATACCGTATTTACTCGCATAATAAAAGCACTTTTTTTTCCTGAAAAATTGACACACTAGGGGGGTACATTCCTTATGTGGGGTGAAATTTTTGCATTTACACACCTTGCGCAAATCTCATTTAAGCTGCCAATATGACACGGCAGGGTACTGTGGCACGTCTTCACTGACGGAGGCACACCCACGGCTCGTCGAGGGCACGCCACAGTAACCATATTTTATAAATTGCTAACCTTTTTTTAGGGCTCTTTCAACGTGCTATTTGCCAAGGAAAAAGCGCCTTACAAAGCTCACTCAGCACGGAGAGCTATGCGACTGTTTACATCGATGCATCCAATAAGCAAAACGTGTCCGGGGCTGGGAAGTTCCTCGACCCCAGCTTTGCTAGGCGTGCGCGCCACTCGGTTTCACTGTTGATCACTTCCGGAACTACGCACTTGCAACCATTATGCACGCGTGTACTGCTATGCTTGGCTTGCCTTGACATGGCCTGGCCACTTCCCGGCCAAAGAAAATTGGCTTGGGCTTGGTGGCTGCCCGAGTTGGACGCAGTTCGAGGCTAACAGAGCCGAAAATTGGAGGTGCATCCATTACACGAGGAAAAAAGAAGTAAAAATATTGATGCCCGTTCTGGGGGATGCGTTCATTATACGAGTGAATACGGTACCGCAATATCCCTAGGGATGCCCCACCCCCAATAACCCACCAATATTTTTGGCACTATTTGCTATTCTTTAGAGAACACCGAAAGACAGTCCCTTCTAGTAATTCTGGGGCTCTGGCCCATGGTGACCTTGGCAGAATTGGTGTTACTCAGCCACAGTGGGAGATGAGAGAACATTGCAAACTGGGAAGGACACTTTTCCTTTTCTGCGCTCCATTGCCTCTCCATGTGAAAACAAGCTTGGCAGGTCACAAAATATAAAAGTACCATTCTTAAAAATTTTCTCGGCTACACGCCAAAAGTTAGCCCGCTCCTAATGTTCACCCGATTCGCTCTCACTTTTAGGTGGGCTACATATCAGGATATTATGGTAGTTGTCTTATTTTGTACTCTCCCCCACCCCTCCTCCCTTTCCCCTGCTGGCATCCCCCATCACTTTGGCAGGTCCCCAAGGGATCCTCGACACATCCATGCTCAAGAACCACTGCCTTAGACCGTCGATCAAGCCAAGCACTAAAACTTGTTTTTTTTATCGATGATGGCTGTTTTTGCAAAGATAAATAGACCAAATTATGTGGAGTGAGTGAGTAGGGTAAATTATTCTCCTCTTCTGAGCTTCAAAATTGATTCACATGCATTTAGTTCCTTGCATTCACCCTTTTGTCATTGTAATCTTCCAACACTCTCCCCTCCCTCCGGGTGGATGGGGTCTCCCACCACTTCTGCCCATCCAAAATGGGTCCCCAAAACATCAGTGGTTGAGAACTACTGCCTTAAAAAGCTTTCCCGCTTCTCCCAATGAGCGTGTCAAGTCCCTGTGGACTCCTCTAAAGGAGCCCTCGCCATCCAAAACCTCGCAAAAGCAGCAGTTCGAATATTCAAAGACGTAAACGGACAAGTCGTAGAGACCGACGCACAAAGCGCCGACCACCAACTGGAATGTTATTCCAGCGTCGCTTCGGAAATAAGAGAGAGATGGTGGTCGGCGCATCACGTGTCCGGCTTCTTCCACTCGTCCATTCGCGCCGCGTGTCCGTTTCGTTCGTTGTAAGCCGCAACAGTGAATGTTGGAGGCTTCTGGAGGTGACGCAAGGCCACCGGAGGTGAAGCGCGGAAGGACACACTCCCGACGACGACCACAACCAAGAGACGCAACTGTACGAAATGGGACAGCCAAAACGGCCGTTCAGTCGGCCGTCCTCTTCATCCAATGGCGTCTCTCGGTTTTTTGTCGTCGTTGGGGCGTGGTCTCGTGTCATTTCTGGAACCTTCCTACCTTCGTGACAGCAACCGACCGACCTCGAGCCTCGCCGACGTTCCCGGGGTTTCAGGGGAATCTCGCATGGAGAACGCACACTGACAATTTAATACGAAATGTGTTATAAGACTGGATTTCGTGAGAAAAGCAACACGCAGTGACCAATGCACGGGTCAAGGTCATTTAAACAATCTCACCCCAAAGGGGCCGAATTAATTATACGACTTTGACACGAAGACGTCATTTGTCACGACACCGCTTGACATCGTGACGTCGCACAATACCCGCTCGTTCGCCTCTCGTTCCGCAAGTCTCCGAGTTCGTGGGATGTGATCGAGACACCCTCGAAAGTGGCTCACCTCACTGAACTGCACCTCCTTGAGCGAGAAGCTGGCTTGCTCTTGGTCTTGGGGGCGGTCGTAGATACACTCCAGCACCTCCAGGTCCAGCACCGTGGTCGACATGCTCAGCGACCACTGCGATGCAGACGACTTCTCCGTGCCTTCCAGCGTCATCGGCGTGGCCGCAATCCTGACGCCGCAGCAGAACCCGACCGGATGAGCCCCAACGCACTTCGTTCCGCGACAAACACCCTTCGACAAGATTGCAATTTCGTTGCGATTGCAATCCCGTGTCCAATGTGAGCACAGTGACCATTCTAAGCGTAACTGAACCAACGTCGTTTCCATCAACGAAAATACAGTCGAAGTCCGCGTCGGGTGGTGCAAGTTCATCGCAATAAAAAAACCAAAAATCCAGGTGGAAAAGAAGAAAAAAAGATGTATGCATAGTGTATGTTTTGTTGCGTGTGCTTTGTTCGGGGTTTTTTTTTCTTGCGATCGTTGAAGTTTACATTTCTAGGTAGTGAGGGAGATGTCAAGGTACCGGGAAGTGGAACTAGGACACGTTTTTCTACCGAGTGCATTTCCTTCGTAAACTCGTGAAGAGACAATCAAGAGCATTTCTGTTTCCTCCAGTGACCACTTGGGAAAAGTACATACAGCATTAACAAAATTAACCTAATTGCAGAGTTTGAGATGTTGTCTCAAGCTAAATTACTGGATCGAAAAACTTTTGACTGCATTAAAAACAACCATTTCTCTCAGACAGTATGTACATTCGATCTCGCAAATACTGGAGAACCTTCGCTCTCGTGAAATGCAGTTCCAGGGCCACCTCACAGACGGCGCCAGCATGCCAGTGCATTCTTTCGTCGCACAACGTCGCGAGAGGTCGTAACGCACTCAGGCGTAAGCAGTCCCAACTGCGTGAACCAGCTCTAAATCCCTTCTGCGAGACACCTCACAAGTGCCGCTGTTTTCACACGACGTTCGCCGATTTGATGTCGAGCATGGGGGGGAAAGGGGCAGTCAAACACTCACCGTAGATGGTTGGTGCGGACGGTCCGGAGCAGAAAGTCTCGCATGGCATCGAGGTCACGGAGGCTCGTGCCCGTGAGCGCCACGAAGAACGCCTCCGCCTGGGCGCGCATCTGCGCCGCAGTGTTGGGGGAGGGGCAGCAGACGCCGCCACCGCCGGAGGACGCTGCCGCGTTGTCCCCGCAGGGACCCACTATGTCGTCGTGGAGGACGACGGCGTAGAGGGCGCTGCAACGCACCCGGAAGTGCGTCAGGTCCACCAGCGTGTCCTCCGTGTGGGACGACCGCCCTGCGAGTGGTTATGTGAACGTCCGTGAAGGTGCACTAGTAAGCGAAGCGGAACCACAACTGGCATCCGCCATATTTGCTTCGGCCGTTCTGCTCTATTCTGGAACACGGCGAGCAACACCGCGACACTTGCAACGTCCTCGGACATCAACCGAGGAACCACGTCTGTGGACAAAGTTGGAAAAGCACTCGTAACGAGGTGCTAATAATAAAGATGCAGTGCGACGTGCATTGCGGGACCGTCTTTACCTTACGTAGATCGTAGAGATGTGACCAGGATGATTTCTAGTATTGAAAATATGTAAAGAAATAGGCAGACCAACTCACTTTTCGTTTTTGTTCTCTGTTTGGGTCTTGGTGCTGGATAAACGAAATAAAAACACAGAGGAAAATCACCAATGTGTTACGGGCGCCGACCAATCTTTCGGACGCCAAAATTTCATACGTGCCCAATTATTTGGACAATACTACGGAACCGTCGCTTGCCCTGTACAGTTAATGTATGAGGCCTGCTTCGGCGGGGCAATTTTCCCGGCAGTTTTGGTGTTGCTAAAGAGTTGTTCCCTAGCTTTCCCTAGATCCTTGCGGTGCAACACGAATTGCTGGGATCGGGTCAGGTTTGAAACGGACGAGCAACTGGGACGACTCGGAGACGTTTCGAGTAGCAGCAGCCAATCAGGGACGCAATATTTTCACGCGACACCCCCGTGGTGGTGGTGATGATGACAACCAAAAAATCGGTTCCGGTTTGAAATGGACCACTTTAGAGGAAAAAAAAATGTTTCAGAAAGGTGAGCTAGTATTCCCAACGCCATCTGAAGATATAAAAACATGTCTATAGCACGTAACTGCGTGCCTGAATAATGCAACAAAATTAAAATTTAATGACGATGATGGCAACTTGCTGCTGAAAATGCAGAAAGAGTATGCCTCATCGCTCGATTTTTCCGACTTTTTAGCAACCACCCAATTGCCATCATGAACCGAACTGCAGTCATTTTTGTTTGTTTCGATTTTGTCTGTGGCCTCAATGCCAGTTTCTGCACTTGCTCCATGCCAGGAGGCGCTGTCTATGTGATACAGAAGCTGGATCGAGAATATAATCGGAATCGTCACCTTTTTCCTGCAGTCGACATTGATTTAATGGTCGCTTTTGTTTTGCGCTGTGCACGGAGAGATTGCGGTCGTCTAAACGTCCAAGCATCGCCTGCTGCCGTCCTGTGCGTGCCTTCTGCCGTCGTCTCCAAGCGGTGTCCAATGGCGCCAACTGCATCTATAACTCCATTGGCTGCGTCCACGGCTAGGTTCGACTCAAACTTTTGTTCTGTGCTGTGCCTCCGGGAAGAGTGTCGAATCCACGGAGGGATCGTGGTTGTCTAAATGTCTAAGAACCGCTTCGATGTCCGCCACTGTTCTTTGTTTATAGTTTCGTTTATGGACAACTTGGCTGACATTGTTGTGACATTCAAAAAGTTCACGGACGTGGATGGTGCACTCCGTACCGGCCATCACGTGGCCGTCTACTGCGGACCACTGAAATCGAAAACAATCCTATCACGAAGATGCGAAGCATCATCCAGCAAAGTAAACATCTTCGACAGAAATCTGTCTGGTTTGGGGAACAATTCGAAAAAAAGAAAACCCAAACCAAAAGTTTAGAAACAACAGTTCCCAACGTTTCGGGGTCGACTTGACTCCTTCTTCAGGGGTGACTAAAAATGGAATGGGACAGCGCGAGCTTCGACCTCTCCTTCCTCTTCTACCGAGGTGATGTTTTGTGAACGTGACGCAGGCCATGGACGTAAATAGATGGTAAGGCCCCGAGGGACCTGTTAATGTTCCCCGGTGTATTCTGGATGTGCCACGACTCCAAGAACAGGCGTCTTCAAATATGTGGCTCCGTGTCTATCACGTGTGCTTTTCCGAAGTCGATCCAATGATCAAACACCTCACAATGTTCCGCGACGGCGCTACGCTCGCGATCGAAATTGCGCACATCGTTCTGGTGCTGGCGCATGCGTTCGGGAAAAGATTTAGTTTCACCGATGTAGGCGACGGGGCACTCCGCACACGGTATCTTGTAAACCACGCCCTGTGCTTTCTCTTTTGGGAGGCGATCTTTCGGCCTTGGCATGAGCCGTCCTAATGTTGACACTGGCTTGTGCACCACTTGGATCCCTTCTTTTCGGAGCACGCGCGCCAGTGTCTCGCTCGTCCCTTTTACATAGGGACGCTGACCTCCAAAAAAACGGCTATTCAAGGAGTTTTGTCCAACGCGTCGCCCGTCGACAGTGCTGCACGCGCAATAACCATGGATCGTCGGGTGGCACACAGCCCCGCCCCATCGGGCGCATCAGCGTCCCCTATGTAAAAGGGACGAGCGAGACACTGGCGCGCGTGCTCCGAAAAGAAGGGATCCAAGTGGCGCACAAGCCAGTGTCAACATTAGGACGGCTCATGCCAAGGCCGAAAGATCTCCTCCCAAAAGAGAAAGCACAGGGCGTGGTTTACAAGATACCGTGTGCGGAGTGCCCCGCCGCCTACATCGGTGAAACTAAATCTTTTCCCGAACGCATGCGCCAGCACCAGAACGATGTGCGCAATTTCGATCGCGAGCGTAGCGCCGTCGCGGAACATTGTGAGGTGTTTGATCATCGGATCGACTTCGGAAAAGCACACGTGATAGACACGGAGCCACATATTCGAAGACGCCTGTTCTTGGAGTCGTGGCACATCCAGAATACACCAGGGAACATTAACAGGTCCCTCGGGGCCTTACCATCTATTTACGTCCATGGCCTGCGTCACGTTCAGAAAACATCACCTCGGTAGAAGAAGAAGGAGAGGTCGAAGCTCGCGCTGTTCCATTCCATTTTTAGTCACCCCTGAAGAAGGAGTCAAGTCGACCCCGAAACGTTGGGAACTGTTGTTTCTAAACTTTTGGTTTGAGTTTTCTTTTTTTCGAATCATCCAGCAAACTACCGATCTGTTTCACCAGCCATTTAAGTACATAAAGCGCCAATGCAGAGGATTTTTAGGCTGAATTCACTTTTCCGTACTGCTTGATTATTCGGACTTCTTTTCGATTTAAATGGAATCCGTATAATCGGCTGGCGAAGATGTTCACTTGGAAGACTCTGTTACCTACAGGTCTAAACAAGATGAATCTTGCATCCCGAAAAGCTACTTATTCTACGAGGCAATGACAAAAGACAATAAAAGATGAAAATGCTATTAAGTTTGTTGTCTTGTAACAAAAAGAAATCAGAAATTGCAGATTTGTGGAAGTGCAGAGATCATTAAACAGGAAGAATATCTAGAATGGACAGTGCTACCAATGCTCAAAAAGCTTGCTTTGTAACACTGTCAAACTCACAAGTCAGTCAGGTTACCAGACTCACTGGACAAGTCGGGGCAGATAATCTAAAAAAAAGGCAGGTAACTCTCAAAATGTTTAAACAATTATTGTCAAGGAAAATCCAATGCATGCCCCAAGCTGCAATGAATGTTTATTTAGCATACACCGAGCATTACCTTTAAAAAAAAAGAAGAAAAGAGAACAGCAACTTTAAGAACTGACTGACCTGCGTGGTAGGTGATGCTGGAAGCAGACGACTCCATGTCTGAAGTGGCATTGGTACTGCCGCTCTCCACAAAGGCCCTCTGACGCGTCATTGGCTGATAGTCCTCATCCGAATCTGAAAAAAAGAAAATCAATTCTCAACATAAATTTTTTTATAAACTGACACAGTACCCAATCTAGCGACAATGATCCCCAGACATCAAAACATCATCAGTGAACTTTGATCAAACAGCAATGAAATCTAGCAATATTGCCTTAATAAGCTGCGAAGTTCTAACAGCATGAGGCACCAACAAGATGCATAGGGAATACTCTAGGGATCAAAGGGCTAGGGAAGTTTATTGCTAGGGAAATGGGGAATAAGGGAGAGGAAATTTATAAGGTGAGGGACAGATGTGTGTGTTTCTGGGCAGGCAGGATGTGCGAGCATGCGAGTTGTGAGAATCAAGAATGAGGTTAGACCTTATGATATTTCTTCCGAGTGCAATACCCAAACCTAACAGAGCAAACTCCACCACACAAAAACAGGCATGTCACTCTTGCAAACCGTAAATTGACACAACCTTAGACTAGTGTGAACGTGATAAGCTCTCTTTTGGTCCACCCACCGAGAGAATGGGTAGACCATCCCGTGTGGGATGCCAGGCCTCGCGAGGGCACCCTCTTGGTTGAGATCTGCCTCTGGAGGTCTTGCTCCACCCGGGCAAAATCCCGCAAGTCCATGGGCTTGCACTTGGAATGGACAGCACCTAGAGCTCCTTCGCTCGCTGCAGATGAAAGAATGTCTGGGGGTAAGGCACAAACAATGTTGCAGACAAGCAAAAAAAAAAAAAGCAACTATGATAGAATATGACATTTCCCCCCAAGGTAAACGGCATGACACAGTATGCACGTGCGACCTTGTGTTTCGTCCTTTACTAACTGAAATATCAAAAGCACTTGTAGAGTCTCATGTATAGCAACACTGTTAAGCAGTAACATCAGTTGTTCCTTGCCAAGCCTTACGGGTCAAAAGTTAAAAATTGCAGATGCTACATTCACACTACACACAATCCAAGGCTCTCATTGTGCTTTTGTTTGTTTTCTCTCGGAGATTCATACCCTCAAGTTAACCTCGAGACTTCCAACCAGATTTAGCTTTAGAGGACAACCTCGGATATGGGAAGGAAAGAATGGTCCTACCACCATGAAAAATAATTTGCTAAGCTAATATTTCCCCTGCATGCATTTGCTATAAGCGAAAAGACTCAGCCATGAACAAGCTTCAAGGTCCATAAAGAGCAATGCACTGACCGGAAGTTGTCATTCATTCCACCCAGAGAAGAGTGTGTGCCGTCGGGTATCCCTCTTCCCTAGCATCCAACTATGTGGTATGCCGTTTATCTGTCTACGTAGTATGCCATTGACTGGTCTAAGGTGCCATGGCACCTTAGGCCAGTAAGTGGCATGAGACACCGTAATGAAGATTTAGAGAAATTACTCCTTGCTGCCAGACAGCTCCTGCCGTTCCTAACAGGGGGACAGTGCGCGCAGTCCCTCAATCGGTAGCCGGTCTATGGCCAAATTGGGGAGTAGGGACAAATATTCAAACCTCCTCTCCCCAAAACAAACCTGCTGCCGCTTTGGGCACTGTCCACTTGGGGTCGGGGTGGCAGGGGAGGAACACGGGTAGAGCTCTGTGGGGGGCACGGGGTGGGGCAACTTCTGGGGGACAACGGGAAGGGGACACGGCACTTGAGGGATGGAGGGAAAGCTACTGGGGCTGCAGTCCAGACACTGCCAATGCTACGAGCTAATGGGAGCAGTCAAGCAGAATCAAAAACACCCTCACTACATGTGCATGATTGATCCAGCGATGACAGAACACATAGAGAAACATGACGAACACCATGAGGGTGCGCTTTTAACGCTATTTGATTGGTCCCCTCAGCTCGTAGCATTGGCTGCATCTCGACTCAAGGTAAAACGAGGTATAGCGAAAGAGTGGGCGCCGTCGGGTTTTTATCTTCCCTAGAGTCCAAGTACGCAGTATGCCTAGCTTCCCTTCTTCCACAAAATAGCACCTGTCCTGTATACTTCTTGTCCTTGTCCTTTTGTTGCGCTATTTTATATATTTTACTACATACCACACTTTGCTTCTCGCCATAGTGGCTATATTTGGCCCTTGCTAAAGTGCTAACTTTAAAAAATTCTAGCCTAGGGAAGCAAGAAAAGTGACTAGCGCGTGTTAGGGAAAGAATGGGTCTACCCGAGCTCCAATTTCCCCAACATCCGACTATGTATTGTGCCTGGTTTCCCTTCTTCCCTAACATCTCACTACATACTACACCTAGCTTTCCCTCATTGATGGCCATATTTGACCCTTTCCCTAACCCAAAACCTTCCGATGCCCTAACCTCCTTTGGAACCTCAAATGATAGTTTGGTTTGATGTAACACTGGCATACACTAGTGAACATTTTCGGTCACTCCTTTATAAAATGAGAGAAGCGTGGTTTGCACATTGTAACCTGCTACTATGAATATGAATGCAAAGCTTACACTGATACAATAAAAAGATATCATTAACAAAATACTAAGTATGACACTAGCAGGCCCAGTATACAGTGCACATCCGCACAGCACGCAACAGGTAGGAAGTTGCTGGAGTCAGGCAATACAATGGGCCTTTTTACAGTAATGAGCGCCGTCTGCAAGGTTGTGGTCGAAGTACAAATGAGGGACAGCTTAACTTGCCTCCGCCCACCAGAATACATTGGCATCGTGCTGTTGTATTGATGTTTCTTGCCTTTTATAACCCTTACTAGCGTATACTCAACCAAGAATGGCCAAAAAAGACTAAATACGCGCAAAGATAGTTGCTGAATGTGTTGGCTGACCGGAACTTTGCCCAGCGAAAATGGCGGCAGAGGGAAGCAAGGCCAGAAGAGGGTGTGTTTGCATGTGCAGAAGCTTACTGAAAAAAGGTCCATTGCTAAGACTCAAGCAGCTGATGGAGCGCGGGCAAAGTAATGGCACAAGCTGCAGTCGGTAAAAGGCTAAAAATCCAGCAGACCCTCTTCCTCCAGCGCACACACACACCACCTTCTGCCAGGCTTTGCCTGCGACTAAGTGTTATGAAAGTTAGAAAGCGTCCCCGACCATAAGCACTACGAGAGTATGTCAGTAATGTGCCCATTTGAATTCAAGCATTCGTTAATGTTGCCGAAACTGCCAGGTCAGCAACATCAATGCAACTTAAAAGTTTGCACAAGAAAGCACGCGCAGGATCGGCGCAGTGCGATGACGGGCCGACATGGGGCAATGTTGGTCCAAAGTTGGGTAGCTGTTGGCCAACGTTGGCGAGTCCCACTTGCCTGGGCAGTAGAAGCCTTTTGCCAGCTTGATGAGGAGGTTCACCTGCCTGGGCGAAAGGAACAGCGGCATCTGGTCCAGGTTGAACTCAACCTCAACCTGGAAAGAGGCAAATCAGTACATCCCCATTAGCCCGACACTAAACTCAAATGCGCCAATCAACAGAAATTTAGATGCGTCACCATCGTACGAGCAAAGGCAGGAGACAAAATCTACAGCATGTTTAGAGCTCCTCCCACCATTAGGGCGACGAAGCTTTTGTGGCGACACAAATACATATATTGGGCATTTCTGCGAATACTCGTAAGCAACCCTAAAAAAAAGAAAGAGTGGGAAAAAAAAGCCCTTTTCGGGGACAAACTGCCAGTCACGGTGTGTGTCGGGGATTGCAAAAAGACACACTAATTAGCAAAACAAGTTCCTATACTTTCCAAGTTACCTATTAATAAGCGAAAATAAACATATAATTCCAATCCGAAACTTGCTTAGCATCATGGAAAACCCCTAAATCAACCATTTTCTAGGAAGACCCAAAGCATTGGGGTAAGCACGGGGGTGCGCTAAAGTTTTCACTCACGCAGCGGCCGGAAGGCAGGCAATGCAAAAACACTGATGACATCAGCAAGTTTCAAATTGGAACAATATGTTCATTTCCTCTAACTAAATAGGTAATAAGTGAATCTTTTTGCAATCTGCGACGTTTGCAGCTACTGGCGGTTCGCTCCCGAACATGGTGTCCTTTTCTCGACCGCCCTATTTGTAGAAAATGTTTGAAAGTGTTCGCAGAAAGACCCGGTACGTGCCGAGCATCGCCACTCACGTTTGGGTCCGTCAGCGACTCGTCCTGCTTGAGCTGCAGCTTCATCTCCTGCCGGCCCTGGAGCCGCGAGATCAGGATCGGGTCCGACTCCGGCTGCGGAGGACTCTCCGGAGAGGCGACGTGTTGCGGCGGCATCTCTGGCGAGCCCGCCATGGAGTCCAAACCCTGTCGCATCGCATCAGGATTAAACGCTGGCGTCACTAAGCACCGGGTGTTCAAGAAAATAGAGAGAACCACATTTCTCCCACAACGAAGAAAGACTATGTGTCGCCAAAGGCTCAGTCTCGGATGTTGTGCTAGCAGTTGGAACCGAATGCCCAAGTTTCAAAATTTACCATTATCTAATTCGAGTTATCCGCAATTTTTTCATTTCTCGACAAGGAATGGCGGTTAACAGATCCCACAAACACAAGATGAGGAATGGTGTTTGCTAGCCAGAACTGGCACAATTTCCTCACTGATGAAAAGTTATGATAAGGACTTATATAACGTTTGAATCGTATTGCAGTAAATTATGAGACTAGCATCTCGTCCTAACTGCTATATCTGAGCGGAGAATGAGCGTTCTGCGACACATTGTTTATTTTTCAAGTAAGAAAACCGCATTTTTTTGTTTTTTTTTCAAGTGACACTTTTTGTTATGAACCTCTACTGAAGGAGAACAGAATGCAAGTCCAGTTAAACAGGCAATGTGCGTCCCAGAAGTGTCCCATCTGTTAAAGTCCCGCTGTGTCTCCAAGCGCATCCCACAAAGGCTCACAATGCCTTTTAGACTAGCGGGCAAGGCTGTCAATCACTCACCAGGGCTGCGGCGGACTGGGAGGGCGAGGCGTTCTTGGCGAGGGAGAACTCGTCCGTGTAGAGGCTGGTGCCCGAGAGCTTGATGCGCTTGGTCGACAGGGCCACCCGCTCGTGCACCCGCTGCGCTATCGTCTCCCCCGCTATCTCCGTCTCCGTGCACACCTGGTCGAAGTAGTCCACCCTGGGAAGGGAGGTCACTCGCGGTCAAGCGATCGGACGGCCGATCGGACAGTCAATCGGGGCTTGCTACGTCTGTCTTTACTTTAGAGAAGTTCCGAGCGCTATCAGTAATGCCGAGCGGCCGATCGGGGCTTGCTGTACCACTCCAGAACTTTGCTTGTTAAGTCTCTACTGCAAAATGGTTCTAAGCACTGTCAGTAACACTTCCCCATAAATTAAACACCTGTGAGTGCGGAAAGTGTGACTCTCCTGTGAGTTGAAGTGTCAAGTCTGATGGAACAAATTTACCATACAGGTTGGAAAAATCTAATGGTGGACTCAGGAATGACAGACTACCCCCAGAGGATTCCTACTGGTCACTAAGTCAAGCGGATTACAAGTCATCTGGGCTTGTTCTCAACCAGTGGATGTTACACTTCTTCGGGGAAAGGCTCGTTTGCACTGGGACTCGTGCCAATGGAGATGAACAGACTTACAAATTGTACACGGGGAACTGAGTTCTGAAAGCGCAGCTCGAGCGAGAAACAATCTGAGCACTCACAACTTGATCCGGACCTCCAGGGCAATTCCGTAATCGGTGTCCGGGTTCGGGATGTGCTCCACACGAATCGTCGTGTTGGTCAGCCGGACCTTCACCCTGCAGAAGACTGCGCAAAAAGGAATGGATTTGCTTTATGGCGCACCGTGAATTCACGAGGGCGCCCATCAAACCATTCGGCCAATCTTGGCCGCGACACGATCACATGGTCGTGTTGCCGCGGGGTCGATCGGGATCTCGAATTCGGCTCCCGACGCGCCGCTTTCTCTCCTAGCCACTGGAGGGCGCTGCAGGCGCCCCCGTGGCAGGCGAGGAGAAACCTCCTCGCCCATCGATAGATATACTCGGTGGGGCAGAGGGCGAGAGGTCTCTAAGAACTCCGGACGCGACCGAGACGCAGGGACTGGCAGGCAAGTGGGTGGCGACCGGATCTAGGATATCGCGGGACGCGAGGCCTAAGGGCCTCCTTTGTGTTTAGCTTTAGCCTTAACGTGCATTTGTAAATAATTGTGTAATGTAGCTTGTATTTGTAGTTTAGATTGAGTGCTTTGTAGTGTTGTGTTTTATTGTACCAATAAACTGGGAGCGGAATCCCGCTCCCGTGAAAGAACCAGGCTGGACTCGGGTTGTTGACGGACCACGTGGGAAACGGCGAATCGGCGGCGGTACGCGAATTCCCACAAATCGCGCATCAACGTTGGGGCAGGCGAGCCGTAATTACGGTCGCAACGTCCGTCGACGACACCACGTGAAAGTTCACGCGGGGCGGTCCCCCTGGTTGGCGGGTCTATACCGCGGCACTGTGAAGGTGGAAAGGGCACGCCAAACAAGTGTTCGGGATGGCCGCGGGTAATTTCGCACTAACAGATTTAATGTTTCTGGCGGACGTCGCGACGACACAAGCGGAAAAAGAGCGACGGCTCTCGGGGTTGACGGAGGGGAACGCCGCGGAGATGACCGTAGTGCCGGAAACGCCGGCGGTATCGCCAGCGGTGTCTATGCCGCAAAGCACGGAGATGTCCCGTGAGTCCGCGGCGTTGGTTGCGGCGTTCGCTCAGGCCTTACAGAGCATGCAGAGGGAAACGCCGCCGCCAAAAACCCTCATCCGCATTCCGGTGCCGGAGTACAGCGGACACAGCGATCAAGCTCTGAGCGCGACCGACTTCTTGCTGGAAATCCAGCGATATCGGAAGGCTACCGGCGTGACAGAGAAGGAGACGCTAGGCAGAGTTCTGCCGGTGGCTCTTGTAGGCCCAGCAGCCAGGTGGCATCGCCTTGTGGGTGAGTCAGCCGGAACACTCGACGAGTTCACGGATCTCTTTCGACAACAATTCTTGCCGGCAGACTACCTGCCAAGAATGCGCAGGGAACTGGAGGAAAGAACGCAGGCTCCCGCTGAGCCCTCTGCTGAGTACCTGCGGGCAATGCAGGAACTCCTGCAGATCGCCGATCCCAATGCTACGAACCAGGAGCAGGTCGAGCGGGTGGTGAGGCAGGCGCATCCCACCTTCTCGCGGTATCTCCGTGGGCGCCCATTCGGAAGTCTGAGTGAGCTAGCACAGGAGGCGCGCAGGGTTCAGGCCGACATACTGGCGGAGCGCAGGTACCACCTTCCCCCAGCACCAATCGACACGCTCGAACCTCGATGCGCGTAGCAGGGGCCGGTGCCACGTGGGTATCGACGGGGGGAGGCCGCAATGGCGGAGGCCAGCGGGGAGCCGAGCCGGAATCCCTGGGAGCTCACGGATGACGCCTTGGAGCCAGGATCGCGCCGAGGAGGGAGCGCGGCCGTCCACGCGACGGAATTCCGTCTGACCGGCGCACCACGGATCGCCGCAGCCCAGGAGCAGGCTGCCGCCGACCCGCTGCCACAAAGGGGTGAGCGCATCGGACGTCCCACTGGGGAGAATCCTATCCCAGGTTGGCGAGGCCGCTGCTTTCAGTGCCACGAAATCGGGCACTATAGGCGCGACTGCACAAGGGAGATTCCGGGAAACGGAGGAGGCCGCCGATAAAGTTATCGGCGGCGAAACAGACCAACGAGCGGGTCCCCGACACCCCTTCGACCGTGTGCGTGCCGACGGCGTATCGAGTCGGAGCAGCGACAAGCACCGCGGCCCCATTTATTTCCCTGACGGTGGCGGGAAAGGAGTTCGCAGCTCTTCTGGATAGCGGGGCTAGTGCGTCGCTAATTGGGGACGAGGTCCTCAGGCATCTCCAACAGAAGTCCGTTCGGGTGAGGCATGGGGAGACCACTTTCCAGTTGGCTTGTGGGTCGACGACTTCGAGGGGAGCAGTGCGTCTCGTGGTACGTTGGAATCAACGCGCGCAGAGACAGCGGTTCGTCCATTTGGCCGGGCTGACAGTGCCCATCATTCTGGGACGGGATTTCCTGGCCCACACGGGCATCATCATCGACGTGGCAAGTGGCGGGTACCGAGAGGGGGCACATGCACCCCTTTCAAGTTTCCGAGAGCGCTCCATGGGGGCCATGGCGGCAGCGCTGGGAAAAGCGACGGAACAGGAAAGAACCGACCGCGACGACGCCATGCCCATGAGTCACCCAACTCCGAGCTCCGCCGAGCACTGCGACGAAATGGGCCACCCGTTGGCCAATGCCGATGGACTGTCCCGACCAGAGCGAGAGAGGTTGGCGGCTTTGCTGCACAACTTTGACGAAATGTTCACCGAACAGCCGGGCTGCACTAAGCAGGTGCAACATCGCATTGAAAGTGGGGACGCACGCCCTTGGAAGTCCAATCCGCGTCCCGTGAGCCTGGCGAAGCGAAAAGCGATAGATGCCGCAGTCGATGAGCTCCTGAAGTCGGGAATCATTCGCCGGTCATCAGGACCCTGGGGATTCCCGGTGGTTTTGGTGCCCAAGAAGAACGGAACATCGAGACTCTGCGTCGATTATCGGCGCTTGAACGCGGTGACCGTAAAAGATGCGTATCCATTTCCGAGCATCGAAGAAATCATCTCGAATCTGGGGAAGGCGAAGTATTTCACTACCCTCGACGCAAGCAAAGGCTACCTCCAAGTGGAGATGAGCCCGGGCGACGAAAGCAAAACTGCATTCGTGTGTCACCGAGGCCTGTTCGAGTTCACTCGGATGCCGTTCGGATTAACAGGTGCACCGATGACATTTCAGCGGTTGATCGACGGGGTGCTCGGAGATGCCAAGTGGCAGCACGCGCTCGCGTACCTGGACGACATCATTGTGTACTCGGAAACTTTCGAGGACCACCTTCGTCACCTCGAGGACGTGTTGCGCAAACTACGAATCGCCGGCCTCACGCTAAACCCGACTAAAGCCCAAATTGGAGCTTCTGAGATCAGCTTGTTGGGATTCCGGATCGAGAGAGGAAAAGTTTCCCCCGACGCGGACAAGTTGCGGGCGATCTTGGAGTTCCCAATCCCTACCGATGTCGGGGGAGTGCGCCGTTTTCTCGGCATGATAGGATACTACCGAGCCTACATCCCGAACTGCGCCGCCATGCAGGCACCCCTCACGCAGTTGCTGAGGAAAGCTGCTCCCTGGAGCTGGGAAGCGCCGCAGGAGGAGGCGTTCCTCCAGCTGACCGAGGCCTTGGCGCGTACAACATCCCTCAAACTGCCAGACCTGAATAGGCCCTTCACGATCCAGACGGACGCCAGCGACCAGGGACTCGGCGCGGTGCTCTTGCAGGAGACAGAGGGAGAGATCCGCCCGGTGGCATTTGCCAGCCGGGCGCTGAACCCGGCGGAGAAGAACTACACGGTGAGTGAGCGCGAATGCCTCGCCATCATTTTTGCTCTCAAGAAGTTCGATCATTATGTCGAAGGGACGGAATTCACGATCGAGACGGACCATATGGCCCTCGCGTGGCTCTCCCGAATCAAGGAACCCGCCGGAAGACTGGCGCGCTGGGCCTTGACACTGCAGAAGTACGAGTACCGAATTCGGTACCGGAAGGGCACGACAAATGTGGTGGCCGACGCGCTCTCCCGCGCACCCGTGGATCCCCCACCGCGCGAGGCAGCAGGCTACGGAGGCGGGGCCATCCCCCAGGAGACGGGAAATCCCGCCTCGCGCTCCGCTCCCCACTGTGGCGGCGTCGCGCAGCTGGCTGAGGCGATTACCTCACTGGGACCGGCGTTCAACCGAACGGAACTGTACGAAGCACAGCAGAGCGATTCATTTTGTCGCGCTATCTTCGACCGGCTCAGGCAAGAGATGGATCCTGACCAGACAGCCGAAAAGACGCTCCGGCACTCCGGAACACCGAGAGGGCCAAGTGCCATCGCCCAGGAGTCAGACATCGAAGCAGGTGAGCTGGAATCTTACCTGATCGATGGGGACGGCGTCCTGCTGCGCTACTTCCCGGAAGAGAGCGATTCAAGTGAGTCGTTCAAGACCGTGATTCCCCGCGATCTCAGAGTGGCAGCGCTGCGTCACTACCACGATGCGGACGGTCACGGCAGTGCACCGAAGTCGTGGCATAAGCTGCGCCGTTTCGCTACCTGGCCGGGCATGAAGGGGCAGCTGTGCCGTTATGTCCGTAGCTGCGCAGTGTGCCAAGAGCGCAAGCCCAGGGGGGGCAGACCGCCCGGCCTGCTCGAGCCCATCGTGAGTACGCGGCCATGGGAGATCGCGGCCTGTGACTTGATGGGACCCTTGCCGCGGTCAAGCGGAGGCTATCAACATGTGTTGGTAGTCACTTGCCACTTCACCGGATTCGTCGAGATGTTTCCAATGCGGAAGGTGACAGCCAAGGGAGTCCTGAGCAGGCTGTCCGAGGTCTGGTGTCGCTACGGGTTCCCCGAGAGACTGGTGAGTGACAACGCCTCGATATTTTGCTCGAAAGTCTTCGCGGCAACCTGCCAGGCCCTCGGGATTAAGCATTGTAAGACTTCGTGTTACCATCCCCAAGCAAATGTGACCGAGCGGCGGAACCGCGACATCAAGCCGCTGCTCGGGGCGTATGCTCGAAAGCAGCGGGACTGGGATCTGCATTTGGATTCGATTTCGTTTGCATTGCGGTCCAACCTCAACCGCAGCACTGGGTTCACGCCTGCGCTTTTGAACTTCGGCAGAGAACTCTCTACGCCGACCGATGCGGTTCTTCGCCCGCGACAGAGCGCGGCCAGAGCGGTGCCCTCGCACGAGGACTTCGCAACGCGCACAAGAGAGCGACTGTCGCGGGCGCTGGACGCCGCCCGCGGAAACAGGGCTCGCGCGCGGGCGGAGCAGAAGAACACCTATGACAAAGCGCACCGCGATGCGCAGTTCGAGGTGGGCGACACCGTTCTGCGGTGAAGTCACGCGCAGAGCGATGCGAGTAAGTTCTTCTCGGCGGCGTTGGCCCCCAAGTGGGTTGGCCCCTTTGTCATCGATTCCAAGAAGTCTCGACTGACATACACGCTGAGGGACCAGAATTCTGATCTCGTCCGCGGGACAGTTCACATCGGCGAACTGAAACCCTTTTTCCCCAGGGAAGGGGATGAGCCGGTCAAGCGGCCGCAAAGGGGCATTCGCGGGCGCCAACGATCTCAGGAGTTCCTGGGACCACCGCGGCACAGCTACAACACGCGTAGCCGGAGGCAACCCGATGGGATCGGAACCTCGTAGAGTGCGTGGCCCGGGAAAGGGAAGAAGAGGGGGGACGATCCGAAATCGGCGTTCCGTAACCCGGGAAAGGGAAGAAGAGGGGGTAGCGATCCGAAATCGGCGTTCCCGGCATATATTTTTTTTATTGTTTTTTGTTTTTCTTTGTGGGTGGGGGTAGGGTTCCTCGGAACCCTTAGTGCTTGTTTTTCTTGTTTTTGCTTTGAATGTTTTGTTTTTTTTGTTTTTTGTGTGCGGCGTTGCTGTTGGTGTTGGGGTACTGCCACGCCTTGGACTTTTCCCATCTTGTGCGTCATCGCCCCTGCGGCTGCTGCTTCGAGACGCAACTTGGTGTGCACGAATGGTCCTCTCTGGGAGAGGATGAAAGGAGGAGTCGCCGTTTGGACAAACACCAGCTTGGGCTGAACTCCTCGTCTTCTGGCAGCGTATTCCCCGGCAGGAACCACAGCTCGGGGAGCTTTGTGGGACGTCCGCGACGCCATGCAGGACGCCGGGGTGCAGTTCTCAGTGACACTGGACTTCCAGCCCCGCATCGTTCCGGGAGGGCGGTCGCAGCTGGGTCGCAACCACAGTCCCTCTCCGGTGCACCACTCTGTGGAGAGGCCAGTCTCATGGTGGCCAGGCACACTGCTCAAGGACCCCGTTGCCCCGGAGGCCGCCGCCAAGCTGAAGTCAACACAGTCTACTGTGAGGTGCTCGGGAGAACTAATGGACCTCAGTGAGGACGACCCCTGGGACCAGCGGTGTGTGTGTGCGTGTGGGGGGTCTCCAGGCCAAACAAAGCGACGGTGTTCCCAGCAGCCTAGCCCTACGTCTGAATTCCGGCATACTTCGATTTTTAGGAGAGGGGAGTATGGCGCACCGTGAATTCACGAGGGCGCCCATCAAGCCATTCGGCCAATCTTGGCCGCGACACGATCACATGGTCGTGTTGCCGCGGGGTCGATCGGGATCTCGAATTCGGCTCCCGACGCGCCGCTTTCTCTCCTAGCCACTGGAGGGCGCTGCAGGCGCCCCCGTGGCAGGCGAGGAGAAACCTCCTCGCCCATCGATAGATATACTCGGTGGGGCAGAGGGCGAGAGGTCTCTAAGAACTCCGGACGCGACCGAGACGCAGGGACTGGCAGGCAAGTGGGTGGCGACCGGATCTAGGATATCGCGGGACGCGAGGCCTAAGGGCCTCCTTTGTGTTTAGCTTAAGCCTTAACGTGCATTTGTAAATAATTGTGTAATGTAGCTTGTATTTGTAGTTTAGATTGAGTGCTCTGTAGTGTTGTGTTTTATTGTACCAATAAACTGGGAGCGGAATCCCGCTCCCGTGAAAGAACCAGGCTGGACTCGGGTTGTTGACGGACCACGTGGGAAACGGCGAATCGGCGGCGGTACGCGAATTCCCACAGCTTCCATTAAAGAAAAGACCACCACTTCTGGCTTCGGTCTTCTCGGAAAAGCTATCAGCAAACACATAAGAATGCCAGCATGTTTCATCCTCTAGATTGTCTTGTAAAGTGGTAGCTTTATGGTAGGTCGGTAAGTTCGTAACCACTAACACATCTTGAAAAAAAAACGGCAACAGGTGAAAGGGATTCAACCTTGGTCACCGGTGTGAAAGCCGAGCGCGCTGCTGACTAAGCTATGGATTCAGCACATAGGAACGGGAGGAGCAGAAGCAGGTGGTGTGAGAGCAGGCGTGGAGCGAAGAGGGATGGAAAGGGCAAGTAAGAGGGGAGCAGAAACAGGTTGGTAAAAAGAGCGTGCAAAATAAGAATGAGTGGAAAGTGCAGAAAAGTGCAGTTCTCCTATCTTGGTAACCCAGAAAATTCAGCGCAAACGCTTTGCATCCGGGTGATGCTGAAGGCAAGAGCAAGCAGAGTCACAAAGAGACAATGGTGCGACGTAAACCGTTTCCATACAAAACACAGTTCCTTTCTCCGCACGCGCCATTTAGCCTCTAGCCTTCACAATGCCTCCAAAACCCGGGCACCTGCCTCAAGATCAGGAACAAAACCAATCACCATCGATGGCATCTTCACACAAGGCGTTCCCAAAACCATGTTGCATGGACTTTAAGCAAACTTCCCGGTAGATAAACCGTTGCTCCATATAACGCCCAAATCAGAAAACAGCAGCAACATCGTCAAGAACAACAAAAACAGCGACGGCAACCATGACAGCCACTGCAGTGCCACCAATGATCGAAACATTCTGTTCGCGTGCGGTGAAATTGCATAATCACCACAGTAACAATGGTAAGGTCTAAAGGCTTGTGGAACATTAAAAGTATTTCAATCAAATCTTAATTTGTTTCAAGATACTTTTTGCCAACGATGGCCCTGTAAAGGTACCGTATTTAAACGCATTTGGCAAAATGACCCAACATGCTGCCAATTTTGGTTTTCTTTTCCACAGCCTCTCCACGCTTTCTTATGCCTAGTATGCCCTAGTCCTTATGCGCTAGTCCCATCTTTGTGTCCTTGCCTGTCCTTTGCACTACTTACATTCAATACGGATAACCAACTGGCCAACCTTAGACTTTTAGTGCAACTCCTTACGCCCCTTCGTTAAAGGTTCACGTCTACATTTAGTGTCGACGGCGCATCCGTCTTTCGTGCAATAACTTGAAGCGAAACGTGTTAATACTTTTTATATTTTGGTTCTTTCAAAGCATTCAGGACTTTCCCTGGCTCTGAACCTCTGCGTGAACAATGCCCAATCCTCCCCGAGTGACCAAATGTTCCTGGATAAAACGGATTCCAGACACCGGCAAACTCGAAGCAAGTTGCAACAGATTCTGCATTCACTCGCAACGGAGTAGAGTCGGCAGCACTACAAGCAGAGACGGCCAATCGCCAGCCGAAAGAGGCAAGATGCCACACAAATGCTTCCAGAATGCCAGGCCATGGAACACTGTTTCGTCCAGACACGTGGTAGCCTATTCGAGCCTCCCTTTTAACAGTTTCGCTGTCAAGAGTCAAGTTGAAAGAAAGTTAAAAGTCACACTGCTCGTACACCGTACAAGACTTTGCCGCAGACGTGACGACAGAATTGTCGGCGGGCAGGCCTCGTGCACGTTCGAAGCATATTTGCATTGCACACTTGTATGCTTCGAACACGTCTGCGGACAGTTTTTGGGTGGCCAATGCGACGTACAGAGAAGGAACATGCCTTAGACTGTGGCAGCAAACCGTCCTTCGCACGATGTACCCCGTACACTGCGGTCGCGTGGAACTATGTGACCGTACCCGTCTCGATGGCCCGAGCGAACATCTCGAGGCCCGTGAGGGGCTCTGCTGCGCTGAAGTCCTTCTCGGCCTCCAAGGGGTCCTGCTTGAGGTACTCCTCCGCAAGCTGCATGCTCGACATCATGCTGCCCCACATCGAGTCGAACATGGACACTGCAAGAGGAAAGGAATGAATAAACGGTCATTACTCCGAGCTACGCGCCGAGCCCTCTCGACTCGCAATGGGGGAGGCATCGGCCACGGCATCCGCTCGGACGCCGCAACTCTCTGCCTGCTATGCTTTTTGCAGTGCAGCAATGTGCGCGTGCACTCGAGTGACTCGCTCTCTCGAATCTAGGCTCTTTACGCAAAACCCTGAGCCTAAACTCTGTTTCACCTTGCGACGCAACGGGACAAACGCCACAAGCCACCAGAGCCCACCCGCGGCTCGGAACATGCCGCGTGACCTACTGGTTGGGCGGAGCAACGCACGGAGTGTTAAAAGTCGCGTAGTGCTTGTGGAGTGTTGGATCCGCTTATGTGACACCTAACGTCCGCTGCAACAAATCGCGAAGATGCCTGACGTCGAGAAGCCAATGTTCATATGCAACGACCCCCCCCTGTATGAGAACTGTATGCATGGAATAGAATCTTCAGAAAAATTGACTTCACGCTACCAACCATTCTTTGGATTGTGTAGTTATCTATGCAGGGCAAGGAAGAAGGTTCAATAAGGGTAAATGTGTGTCAAATGATGAGGAACACTCAGACAGAACAGAGTAAAACACACGATGAGAGCCAGACAAGGTGTTATTAGCTGGTCATTGCAGTTGAAACCTCAATTTCACTGTGAAAACAATGTTTGTTTCGTAACTAGTTAGAACAATAAAACACGAAGCAGACAGGTGGAATCATTTGGCTTACGTGATAATGGTACCTTGGTTGTGGTGCCTTTCAAACTGTCATACCTTTTTGTCTCGTTGTCCTACCCATCAAACTAACTCTTGGTTATGTCTAGTAGTCACCAGTTTCTCCACCAAAAGATTCTTTGCACACTTTTTGTAGAAGTTGTTCACACAGCTTCTGACCTTTCGTATCTTCCAGAAGAGGAAACGTTTATGAGTGCAAAAAGGGTAAGTATACGAGAATGCATTAAAGTGTGCCCAAGGATCTGTAACTAATCTAATCTCTGGGAAAATGGGCAGCGATAGAATTCTGCAAACTTTCTTTCATTGGCCAAAATTAAATAAAATTTTAAAAAATCCAGTAACTTCAAAAAAAGAAAAAAGGGCTAAACAAGTTTTGTGCATATTCCATATGCTGCACAAAGTAGCTCTTAACAAGAAAAGATTTGGTTGTCAGAGGGAAGAAAAACAACATACATTTTGTCTTTGGAATGTTTTAAATTCTGATAAAATAACAGATAACTAAGCATGCCAGTAGCTTCATCTACCACATAGAGGGGAAAATTAGTAATGCATTGCAAGGAGGTCATCTATTTGCACTATGGCCCTTGGGATGAAAGCAAGCATAGATAAGTCAGTCCAAATGCCACAGCAAGCATTCCCCCTTAAGATAACAAGTTCCAACCACTCCACTGTGTTAATCATGCCGGAACAAATACATTCGTCCTTATAGCTTCCTTCCTAAAGCACTCGGTATTTTAGTAACGACTTTCAAAAATTGCTAAAAATAGGGTGGTTGAGGAAATAAGGAACCCTCTCTGGGAACAAACTGCCAGCCATGGCAGATGTCAAAGATTGCAATAAATATATTAATTACAGTGATGTGATTGGCCTAAGCCATTTCGGAGCACCTTTTGGAGCAGCCAAAACAGTGTTTTGGAGCAGCAAATGTGGCTTTTGGAGCAGCCAAAACAGTGTTTTGGAGGAGAAAAAGTGACTTTTGGAGCATATATCTTTAAAAAAAAAAAATATTTGTTTTAGGTGCTGGACAAACGAAGGACACTTTGTATTCTGTTGTGATGTGACGTGTTGGGGCGGAACTCGCTGCTTGTGTTTTTGCTGCTGAAACATCCCACAAAAATACAGTGCTGCACACGTTGCCGAGCAATTCCGAAAAAAACCCAAAAAACTTGCTATCGTTTTACTGGTTCCCGACGTGGGAGATTTTTATAAAAAGTAAACAAACGTAAAACAATGAATTGCAAGCGTCCCGGCTGGTGCCTCTCGTGCAATCATGTTCACATGCACGTGAGGGCAACTTCGGCAGGCTTGCAGTTACACGTGCTTCGTCGCGCGAGCGGAGACAACGGCTGTTTGACCGAAACCGAAACCATGCCACTCCGCTCCGTCGGCAACTGTTTCCCAAAATAGTATGCAAAATGTAACTGTCCAGCATACGGCAATAAACAGGCCAGCGGAGCGTGCTTGCCAGGCCGACAGGCGAGGTGCAGGCTAAACACACAGAAAAAAAGAACCTGAGCGTATCGATGCAAGACATTGCGAATCAGGGTCAAAAAGTTCTTGGAGCGCTTTGTGCAACGACTGAACTCGAGACAAACAAGCGCGGTGTGCGGGTTCAGCATGCAGACATTGCCTTCTTTGCTTTTGCTCACTTCTCGTCATCACCTTTCTCTCGCGGCAGATTTTTCACGTACCGGGGTCCCTCTCGAAAGAAGCCCCACCGAGAGAAACCTAAGTAATTAAAACTTTGCCAAGCAGTCATTGAATTAAAGAGGGATTTTTATAGCAGCGTATGATTTAAACAAGAGCAGGAATGTCGATGCGTTTCAGTTAAGAAAGCGTAATATCTGCAGCAGCGTGGGGATGGCAACACACGACGTCGCGGGACCACGGCAACCGGGGTCGTGCGAGCGCTTCAGTTCACAAAGTAACTCTCGCCGCGCAAAAACGTGGTTTTGTTTCACAGCATGACGGCATGGCTGGCACCCGGCACACTAACGTCGGAGCGTTCGCACACGGCCGCGTCTATCGCTAAAAACATTTAACAAAAATAAAAAAGGTAAAAAAAGACGAGAGACAAGATTTCCGAGACGACGACAGCGCGAAACGCAAGACGGTGGGAAAAATCATGCAAGACCGAATAGACGATTGATGCAGGGTACTTTGTGTCGGGCGTCGTCTTGTGCCACCTAGCTCACGCATGCTCAATTACAGTTCTCAGTTTAGTTTCATTCTTGAAGGGCGACAGAAATTGGTCCTTCGGCGCAGGCTTGGCGCAGATTAGCCATATTTCGGCGAAATGTAGCAGGATGTAGCAGGGTTAGCCCCTGGACGCAGTTTGGCGCAATTGGCGCAGCAGTCACATCACTGTAATTAGCAAAATAATTTACTAAAATTTACTAATTGCATTTTTAATTAGTGAAAATAAACATATGGTTCCAATTAGAAACTTTCTGAGCATCATTGAAAACCACTAAATCCACTCGTTTTGTAAAGATATAAGGCAAATAAAGCATTTCGAGGCATTCCAAAAAAACGGTCGATTTGAACATGTCTCTAGGTTTCGGTTTCCCATCGAAGCACACCTTTGCGCCAGCGGTCTTGCCCCCCACGCGGCCAAGGTGCGAAGCTGCTGCCCCGCCTCCCTCGTAGGAAGGAAGGAAGTATGGTGCATGTGCACTGCGCGCGTGTGTCGCGCTGAAACGCACGCGCGTGGAAAGATGCACTTTGATGGGAGATTGAGTCCCAAAAACACACCCAAATTAGACCCTTTTTTTTTTTTGTTGTTGAACATTGTAAAATGCTATATATATATTTCCTATATCCTTATATATTTCCAAAACGAGTTGATTTAGTGGTTTTTGATGGTGCTCAGAGGGTTTCTAATTGGAACCATATGTTTATCTTCACTCATTAAAAATATGCATCACACAGAAAATTACAGGAGGACACTTAAGACTGCTCATGAGTAGGAATGCAAAAGCATTCCTATACGAAGCGCAATCCTACAAGCAGCGTGCCACGTCTTCCTTTTTCACACGGCGCTCTGGCGGTGACATCACGCTCCTCCACTGCGCAGGCGCAACGAACATTGCCGGTTTCACAACGGCTTCTGTCACGGTGCATCTGCGTTGCTGTGCTTTTCTTTGCGTTTTATTTCTGAGGCGCATCCGCTTTGACCTTGAGTGCCCTGCCGCTTTCCGTGATGAAGCATCTGCATTGCTGTGTTTTTTGCCAATGGGACTTCAGGTGCCGTTTTGCTCAGCCGATGGAAATTTAGGTGCCGTTTTTTGCTGCTACAGACGGAATTTAAGTGCCCTTTTTCGCTGCTAAAGACAATGCTGACTTCGCTCCAGGAGAGAGTTAATGCTTTCACATTAAAGTTGATTAGTAAATTTTAGTTGATTACTTTAGCTACTTAGTCTGTTTCTATGGCAATCCCCGACATCCGCCGCGGTTAAAACTTTGCTCCCAACAAGTTTTTTTTTTTTCCTAACAACCCCGTTTTTTGGGGATTTTTTAAAGCCTTTGCAAAAACACCCCGTAGTAGAATCGTGAAAGGGGGACATTGAAGACAAACAGACAAACACAGGCTTTTGACTATCAACATTTCGTTCAAAGTCGAAATCTGGTGTTTGTCTGTTTGTCCTCAATGTCCCTCTTTCTTTATCTTAAATTAGAGACCAACATGCTCATCTACAGAATTGTGGCTTTGCCCATTATTAAAAAAATAAAGGTTCCAACAGGCCCCCTCCCCCCCTTCTCACCACTCTAACCTTAATTGGCCTGTCATGCGAGAGTTTTAAAGGGGCAATGAAACAATTTTACTTCGAAAAAATTTGCAGTTTTATTTTTACATTGTTTATCTTACCAAAAGAGACAGAAAAACGACCCCATTCTTTTGAAATATCACGATTCCGTTCCGTAACAGCAAAGAAAAGAGCAAAAATGTTTCGCGACTTGCAGCTGCGAGCGGCGGCCATGGGAACTATGACGTGATGCCGACCTGGGCGCATTGTATTACGTTGGCAAGCTGTGCCCCATTATGTGCTCAAATATCTTTTTTAAATATTTTCATTTCAACATGAATAAATGCGTCAAAAATCTCATATCATCGACAAAATAGCACTATATTCAGTTTTAGTGGCGACGTCTGCCCGAAGTGAACAAAACTTTCTCTTTTGAGTCTAAAGGCCTGTTCACACTCTTGAGACCTCTTAAAGGGGCGGTGCAACAATTTGCG